TTGGAGATCTAGGTTGTGGAGTTCAAGTGCCTCTTCATGCTGTTTGGCCCTTGGGGAGCCGCCTCCATGTTTCTGAGCCTCAGTTTCCTCACCGTGAAATGGGGATGATCTTAAATTGGTGCCTTGTGGAGTTGTTATGAAGACTAAATGAGTTAATCCGTTTAAAGTGTTTAGAACAGTGTCTGGCAAACAGCGTTCAATTACAATCATCCATTATTCCTATCTCCCAGAAAGCCCCGGGGCCAGGCCTCACATTCACTGAGTCCTCCATTCAGACTTTTTCCATTAACTCCGATGACGCAAACTGTAAGCTTTCTAAGTACACTACAGGTTTTAGCCCCCCCCCCGCCCCTCCTTTTTGCTTGTTTGTTTTTTAACCTCTGCGAACGCCTTCGGAAATGGCCAACTCGCGCAGCTGGGACTTTGGGGCGCAAGCTCACCTGCAGTTTGTGACCGCTGCCCCGCCCCACTCCTCCTGGCCCCGCCCACCACGCCGCAGCCTGTTTCTCCCACCTCCCGCCCTCCTCGACCCCAACTCCCTCGGAGGAAGACCGCCCAGGGATGTGGGCTCCACCCAACTGTTCCTTAAGCTCCGAGACCTGTGTGGGGGGCCCCTTGGAAAGAAAGGTCTCCGGATCCAGGCTCCGCTGTGCGGGAGACTCCATGCATTGATTCCTTCGTTCAATGAACTGATTCATTCTTTCATTCAATACGCATCCACTGAACGCCTACTTGATGCCAGATAGAATTTGTGGTGCTCAGTTAACAGATGGGCACCCTGAAACTCAGAGAGCTGAACGAAACCTGCCAGAATCAGGCAGGTTTCATGCTCTGTCCGTTGTCTCCCTGACACGTGGTGGTGAAATTGTTAAACACTAGCATTTACGGATGCTCACGGTCAACCAGGGCATCTGACTTAACCCCTGGACTTGCCAGTCCCATCTGCGGTTTCACTCCGGAGCCCCTGCAGTCAGTGTTGGAGACCCCTGGCGTTCAGACTGGGGAGGAGGACCACACCGGGGCTGTTTGCAGAGGTCGGGGGCAGCAGAGTAGGCAGAGTGGCAGTTGCTGAGGCCACAGCACTGTGTTCCCCTCACGTGCCTGGGCTTCCAGAGTAAGGATGTGGGGAAGAGACATAATAAAAGATCTTAAATGCTCTCACCAGAAAAAAAAAAAAAAGAGATTTATGCTAGGTGCTGCAAGTGATAACTAACACAAGTGTGTTTATCACTTCCCAATGTATCATTTCTCAATATGTAATTGTATCAGATCAACATGTTGTACACCTTAAACTTGAGGTGTACAAAAAGAGGAAGTCCCTTCCCATGGGCAAGGCAGGAGCAGACGCTGGCATGAGTGAGTTCACGGGGAAGGTAAGAGGGTTCTCACAGCAGCCCATTCATCCAGTCATTCACTCACTCACCAGCTCCTTGTCTGTTCATTCATTCACTCCTTTATCACAGATTCATTGACTCCCTCACCCACTCATTTACTCACACATTCATCCTTTTACTCACTAATGTACTCATCACTTATCCGGTACCTACCTGGAGCTGCAGGTGCAGGGCTGGATCACAGACATCGACGGGGCATGGGGAGGTCTGGTCCCTGCTCCCAAGGAGTACAGAGCCTCGCTGGCAGCCAAGTATGGGCAGATCAACACAATGCAAGATAATCAAGGTGTATTTACGATCAAAGCAAGGAGGTAATTCTTTACACCCCACCTCGGCCACCCCCATGGCTCCATAAAGACAAGCGCAATGATATCACCAGACATGATGATGAGAGCCGGAGGCTGCGTCACTCTAATGAGGACTTAGTGGGATTGGCCACGGTGTCACCTCATGCTCACCCTTGGACACATGTACAGGGATGGGTACAGAAGCCCCAGGCCTGGCACAGAGGAATTGCTCAGGGGATATTTTTATGTCTCAGAGGCAGATGGAGATGTGGTGGGGAAGGGTGTAAGCCCCAGGTCCCAACTGCCTGGGTCTGCATCTCTGCCACCTCCCAGCTCTGTAGCTTTGGATAAGATAGCTAGCCTCTTTCTTGGTCACTCACGTTCCTCGTCTGGAATGTGAAATGGGAAAAATGGTGGTATTTACCTCATCGGTTTGGTGTCAGGATTCAACGAAGCCTCAGCACAGTGGTCGACTCAACGCAAGGGCTTAATAACTGGTGGGAATTACTGTTTATGAAATGAATAGTAACGGTTACTTTTATTAGGCTGCGCCTTCACGGTCAGACATTGTGCTAACAGCTTTGCACACGTTACCTTATTTAACCTGGTGACCAGTCCTCTGAACCGTCCCTTGTACAGGTGGGAAAACAGTCTCTGACTGGGATGGGAGCAGAGGATGATCATGACCCAGCACTATATACTCAAAACAGTTATGACCTTGCAACCAATAAAGATGACAAGATCCACAGTTATTAACATAGCAAGGTGTCTACTAAGTGAGGAAAAAAGTAGACTACAAAATAATATTAACAGCACAATCCCGTTTTGTTTATGGGAGGAGGTCATTAAAACATTAACAATGATGATCTCTGATTAGAGGGACGAGGAGTTCCTTTAATTTTCCCTGTTTAACGTTTTGCTCTTTTCTGATTTTCCTCCAGTGGGGATATGAAAATCTCTTCTTCGTGTAATTAAACTCATGTGTTAATTAATGGCTTTAAATTTTTGTTTAAGAAAATCCCCAATGTTCAACTTTAGCTTTCTTGTACAGGGAAAAAAAGCAAAAACCAAGAATATCCTCACTGCTTTCAATTTTCTCTTTTTTTTTGGGGGGGGTCAGTGCACAGAGGGTCAGTTTTCCCTTTTGACACAGGTAAGCTCTTGGGGACTGAGGTGGAACTGTACAATCTATCACCCTGGAGTCAGGTGGACGCAGGTTTGCATTCCGACCTTAACACCTGCCTGCTGAGTGACCAGCGACGCAAGCTACTAAATCTCTGTTTTGTCCTTTCTAAGAAGGAGGTGACGCCCAACTTACAGGATCGCTGTGAAGGTTCAGACAGATGAGGCCGAACAGTCACACCCCTCCTGGCATGTGGAGAAGTCCCATCCACTGGTGACAAGAGATATGACAACAATAATTTATTTTGGTCAGAATGAAGTGCACGGCCTCACCAGTGCATAACTGACAGGGGCAACTGCCGGGGAGGGAGCAGGGTCTTGGGGGAATGTCCATCTCAGCCCCTCGTGTTCCTGACCTGGAGCAGCCCACGAACCAGTTTCTTCAGAGGGAGTGGGACCACCAGTGACCTGCCGCATCGAGGGTGTGTGTCTCTGCTTCTTTCGAGAGTCAAAAAATTAATCTGTGAGGACAGCACAGGGAACATCGTCAATACTATTGTAACGATTATGTCCAGTGCCAGGTGGGTACGGGAAGTATCGGGGGGTGGACCATTTTGTAAAGTAGATGGCTGTCTGATCACTATGCTGTATGCCTGAAACGAATACAAAACAATACTGAATGCAATGTGTAATTAAAAAATACAATTTAAGTTAAAAAAATAAATAAACAAAACTCCAAAAACAAGTCGTTAAAAACATCAGTGACAATGTAGTAATGCAACTGGAAAGGTAAGCAGAGACAAGGCCTGGGTGTTCACGGGCGCTTCATTCAGATGCCCGCACCTTCGCTTTACCCCACTTCTCCCTGGGCCTCAAACACCCTCTGCGTGTGTGCTCACCCCGGCAGCACAGGCTGCAGCATGTAGACTTTTCCCGTCACCACTGTGGCTCTGCAATGTCCCCTCTCCTGCAACGTCCCCGGGAGGAGCCATTTCTGCCCACTCCCCGCCCCCCCGACCCCTGCCCCTGTGTGGCTCTGTGCCATGATCCCCAACGGAGAAGTCCTCCTACAGGAAGACACTGTAATCTGCGCTTGGTTAGAGCATTGGGAGAATTGGTTTAAGAGGCAAATTGTAACAATGACACACACATACGGTAAATGTTCCGTCAAAACATGCCCGCCGGCCTTTGGACCCTGAAGCACGTCTTCCTCCCTGAGAAGCCTGCAGTGCAGTTCTTCATTTTCCATACATTAAACCAACCCGAGAGTTTCAGTTTTTGGTTTGTTCAACGTGCGGTGAGAACTTAGACACTTTCAGTGTGAGTGCAGAATCCTCAAGGACCTCCTCCCATGCTCCACCCGCGCCCCCCCCCCCCCTCTTTGACTCTTAGGCAGTCTTGTTCAGCGAATTCAGCAGCATTTGGAGGATCGTTAAGGCGCAGAGCCCAGCTGGCAAGAACAGGCTTGGGAACGCACAAAATCGACTCGCGGTAGGCCGGCCGCTCGACAGCAGCAGACGGGATGTTAAAGAGGAAAGGGGAGGGTCAATGAAGACTGTTTCACAGACGGGCTCGCTCCCACGTCCATCCCTGATGTGTTAACCCACGTTCCTGCTGTCCTAAGTGAAGACCTTAAAGGACCAGATGGCACAATGGCACCCAGCCGTGAAGTCCCTTCGCTAAGGCCGATGGTGGTGTCTCTGCTGAGCTAAAGGTTCAGTGAGGAATGCCGGGTCCTTAGAAAATCAAGAATTTATGAAACACCTTCATCTCGGCCCTGTTCTCCAGATTATATTCTCTTTGGGAAGAGCAACAGGGAACAATTACCGCCATGTTTGAAAACTTACCGGGTGCTTCTTTCCTGCCTACACGAGCTCATTCTGAGCCATGGGGATTTACTTGCCCTTGTTGTAGATCTAATTTCTGCACCGCTCCTGTGAAGTGGTGTTCCTGTTAGCCCATTTGCACCTGGGCAAACTGAGGCCCTGAGAGGCGGAATCTGCACGGCTAGAGAAGGGTAGAAAGGCCTGGAGGGATTCTGTAAAGGAAGCGCCAAGTCCCGAGGACGACTTTCTGATCGTCCTCACGGCTCTTCTCCCCATTTCCCCCGTGTCTCTCCTACGGAATTGAAGGCCTTCTGGGCCGGAGCCCCCGGCTGCGCAGCCACAATCAGGGAGAAAGACACACACAGCAAGAGTTCTGAAAATCAGCCGTTTAATCTCTTAGAACCCAATGAGTGGGGAAAGAACTAAAACATGTTTTTCCCTTGAGGCTTTGTCGATAAGAATATTGGCTTGGGGGTGTCTCTTCCATAGGAAACTGACATTCCCCATGCCCTTACGAGTTTGTTTTTTAAAAATGCATAGAAGTGGGTTTTCCATTCCTGTGCACCCCACACATTTCCCCGCCCTACCCCGCCCACCCTCGGAAGGGACTCTTCTTTCATAACTGGGGAACAGACGTAAAAAAATTTTTTTAAAAATCCATCTAAGTGGCCACAGACACCAGAAATAACCAAATGCGGTTACGCATACATCAGTCACCTCCTAGGCAAACGGGCAAGCTCTTCCGCTTGGAATCCAGAGCCAAAAATTACAAATGGCAGAGACTTAAGCTATCTATATAGATACGTCAGAACCCCTCCTGGACACTCCCCTTAATTACAAAAGTATGCAAACAATCTTGATATAAATGGAAAACAGGCAGCGGCTCTCTCCTGGGGCATACCTCAAATTCCCTGGGTCCAAGTGGGCCTGGGCCACTGCCCCTCCCTCTCAGGACCGAAGGGGAAGGATGGCGGGGAGCACAGGGGAGCCCGGAAGGTGAAGTCCAGATGGGGGAAGGTGGGGTGCTTTGCTTCCCCCACCTAAGGCCTCGGGACGGATGGTCACCGGCTGGGAGAGGCCGAGACATGATTAGTTCAGGGTTGCAGAGAAAGATGCTGCCCACGTGGACTTAAGTGCCCAAACCCTGTCTGGTTCTCAAAGGGTGCCTTCCCAGTCACAAGAGGCACTGCTGTCACACGGTAGTGCAGGGGCTGAGGCACATTGGCGGGGCGGTGGCGGCGGGGCAGTTCAGAGGAACAAAGTAAACTGAGGAAGGGGACCTCGCCACCTGCGCAGTGACCAACAACTGGGCATCTGCTTCTTGGGAGAAAAAGAAAGCAGGGAGTGGAGGCCTGGGCTCCGGGTCAGGCAGGAAAGCAGGGGGCAGAGCGAGATTTCACCTGGAGTCCCACATCCCAGGGCCTTGCCTGGGAAGTACCATCCTTTGTTGAAGGCGCCAGGTGTCCGGGGGGGGGGGGGTACCTTTAGGCAGCTTGGTCCAGGGCCGAGAGTCCAGGTCTGCGGGTTGGCTGCCCAGGGTAGGGGCCGGGGGGAGGGAATTAGTGTGTCCCAATGGTAGAGGCTGCGAGATTGTCAAAGCCTGGCTGAGAACTGGTCCATGTGGATTCTGGGCTGGTCCCACAGAAGAGAAGGGACTATAGCCCTCCCAGGAGTGGTCCCCAATATCCCCAAGCACCCCTTGCCAGACGCTGGTCTTGGCGCTCCCCAGGGGAAGGGGGACCACAACTTCAGGCAGTGTAACTCATCTCAAATTAAACATGGGGAATCGAGGTAGCTGCGAAACTGCGAGCCGCCCCTCCCTCTCCCTACCCCCACTTTGGGATGCAGCCAGATCCTGAACCAGACAGAGGGCAGGAGGAGACAGGGTGCTGTGCGGGAGGCAGCGCAGGCGGGCTCCCTGGGCCCTCGGCCACGGGGCCGGGCAGGTGGTCAATGCATCTTGCCCAGCTGGATCTTCTTCCAGGCCTCCGAGGCTGTGAAGATACACGAGTCCAGAATGCCGGCAACGGTGAAGGTCCCGCCAATGATGGCACAGATCTGCAAGGGGGGGAGGTCAGAGGGCAGCGCTGGAGGGAGTGCCAAACCAGCCCGCTCCCACATCACGGGGCCATGAGCTCAGCAACCCCCACCTCCTGGATACGTGAGCTTGCACTCTACCAGTGGGATGGGTGGTCATCAAATAATCACACTGACAAATGCAAAACTGCAACCAAGGCGAATACTACAGAGGAGAGAGGGGCCCACGGTGCTGCCAGAAAGCTAACAGGGCAAAGCTTCTGAGGGCACTATTTTCTTTGGGACCAGGTGATTCGTTGTGGGGCTGTCCTGTGCACTGGAGGGGACGTAGCAGCACCCTAGGCCTCCACCCACGAGATGGCCGTAGGCTCTTCTCCTCATTGTGAAAACCAGAATGACTCAAACCTTGTCCAAGGTCCCCTGGGGGTCACAGTTGCTCCAGATTAAGAATCCACGTAGCAGGGGATGATAATGAATGTCACCTGGATGTCTGCACACTGGTGACATCCCACCACCTAATAACCACAGCAAAACACACAGCGCTTCCACCTTCCCTGCCTGCGCCAGGCACGGTCTGAGGCACTTCGCACCTCTCACCATGGAATCCCCAGACCAACCCAACAAGGCAAGTAGGATTCTTACACCTGCTTTACAGCCAAGGAAACTGAGGCACGGAGCCACTGGATCATGTGTCTAAAGCTACAGCAATCGGTGGCCGAGTTGGGGCACAAAACGTCGTGGGGTCTACTCTCTGGACGAGACACCACGGCTCCTCGGCACGAAAACACGGGCCCGGCTGCATCCGCCCTCTGCGGTGAGGTTGTCGGAACTCCACGGGTGACGTGCTAAACTCGTGCTGTGTGTTACTCAACACGTTCTGACCCACCTATGAGTTCTTTTCTGGTGCCATAAAACAATCAAAGCATGAAGTGGTGGAAAATTTAAAAAGCCCACCAGAGGTCCGCATGGGAACTTGACAAGTATTTTCCCCTTGAACACACTTCACGCTGTTCATGAGAACCAATACCACCCACACCCTGAATACCCGGGAGGGAAGAACCTCTTTACTCATGGCCCCTTGTGGCCCAGAGAGGGAAATAACTTGCCCACAGTCACACAGTAAGTGTGAGGCAGAGCCGAGTCTGTCTGCCTCCAGAGCGCTCACTAGTCCCCCATGCGACATTTAAGCACACTTAAATGACCACAGGACTCAAATGAAGCCATATTGGGTGGCCCCAGAGGGTCCCCGAGACCACCTTGAAGACACCACAGGGTGGCTGGCCAGCCACGACCCTGGACCCCTGGAGGATTCTGGGAGACGGTAGCTCCTAAATGGATCCTCTGGTGCCAAGGGGAGGAGGCCAGGAGACACAGTGGAAGCAAGAGGGAAGTGTGAATCGAAGCAGCATTTATTTTTAAAACGATATTTTCTACAAGATGAGCTAAGCAGCGGCCCGTGAGGCCCAGGGCAGACAGAGCCGGTCTGTACGAATGGGCAGTAAGTGGAGCAGCTGGCATTCCAGTAATAACAGCCCGAGCAACCGGAGCAGCCCCCTGGGGAGCGGAGAGGCTGGGGGCGCTGGGGGGATTATTATGAAGTGTTTTCAGTGGGCAAGGCCTCTCCCTGCCGGCCTCAGAGCATGACGAAGGGGCACTTTTCAAGGAGGATGACGGCACGGGAGCCGGTTTATTTCGGTAGGGCGGATCAGATGATGGGAGATTTTATACCACAAAATGCTTTTAGAGCTTGGATCAGAGGATAGGAAAATGTGACTTCAGTGCCCTGGAGCAAATAATGAAAAAATAAAAAATAATCATACACACACACACACAGATCTATATTCATCTGCACACTCTGGAGCCCGAGCACGCCTGTGACTCACACACACCCGGCACCCAGTCCACAGGGCTGGCCCAGAGCAGGAGACGGTGCACACACTGGGGTGCACGGGAGAACTCGGGTGGGGAAACTGAGGCCCTGCAGTGAGCCCCGTGAGAACCCACTGGTCTCCCCCAGCTCAACAGCATGTCCCCCATTATCCCACATCTATTGAAGGTGCTCGCCACCGGGCAACTGAGGACAGGAGGCTGACGCCTTTTTTGGGGGGTGAGGCTCAAAAGCCAGAGGAAAGGTAGCAGCCCGCCTGACCTGCCGTGGCCCCTGCCCTTCCCATTTTTGTCTACAGGCCACTCAGCCTCCCTGACTTGCTCGAGAGGTGGTGATTGGTGTGAGCAGGGGGTCTGGGTGCCCTCGGGCCAGGCGTGACATATGGGTGGTCACAGAAACCCCCAGCACCAGGGGGTCACCACATCTGGCCTCATCCAGAGAGGTGGCCAGGCATGGTCAGGTACGTGCTGAGAAGCATTTGTGACAGACAGCCTGCGTTAGGGACAAAGCACCTGGGCCTCAGGCAGTTCCACTTCTTTGGCCCACCTCAGCCGTCTTGCTAAAACTCTCCTTTACCTAGAAGCCCGAGGGACAGAGACAGCAAAAGTGCCTGACACGCAGTAGGCACTCAGGACAGGTTCACCCAGGAAGAAAAGGAGTGCTTCAGTGTGAGAGCAAATGGACACACGAATGGACGTGTGAGTGACTTGCTCCGAAAAGGAGCAGGATTCCAGGCCCAAGTGGGGGGGGGGGGGGGGGGCAAAGGCAACTCACTCCAGGGTGTTAGCTTGGAATAGGGCCCCTCCCACTGTGTGCCCTTGAAACATCCCCCGCTCCCCGGCTTTCTGGGTCTTAGTTTCCCACTTTTACAAATGGAGAGTCTAATCCTCGCCAGTCGGGATGGCTGTGGGATTCCTGGGATTATCCGTGACCCCTGCCTGCCTGCTCTCTAGGTCCCTTTGTACTTCCGGACCAGTCCCAAAGGCAGTGGGACAACCTGCGTGTGTGTGTGTGGGGGGGAGGTGGCAGGGGGAGGGGTGAAGGAACAGGGCCCCTGGGCCAGAAAGGGTCCCCAGAGCACATGCCCCCGTCCTCTGGTCAGCAGCCCCAGCTCCAGACTGGAAAGCGAAGACAATGCCACGTCCAGGCCCCAGTGGCTCTGAGGCAAGCACTTCCCTCTGCTTTCCGCAGAAGTTGTCAATAATGCCCCTTTGTTCTTCCGCAGGCCCTCCTCCCTGCAGGCCCTCCTCCCTGCGTTCTGCCAGCTCCTGACCTCCAACCTCTGACCTCCTACTCCCGGGAGGATGAAGTCAGCTGGTCTACCTCGAAAGGAAGGGGCGTATGTGTGCGTGTTTCCCTTACGTCTTAATTACGGCTCCTGATTCCTTGTAATATGGAAAGGGCCCGTTCCAACCGCACTGGTGGGCGAGCTGAAACCCTCCGTTGTCCCACCAGCTTCAGCCCTTCCCCAGGTCTAGCAGTGAGAAACTCTGGCAGACACGGGGCATGGTGGGCTCCAGAGCACCCATTCCTAGGGTCAGATCCCCGCTGTGTGACTCTCGCCAGGAAAACCAGTTTACCTCTCTGAGCCTCAGTGTCTCTCATCTGTAAAATGGGGCCCACCGTGGGGGCTGAGATGCCCCGTGTCTGGCTGCCAACGGTGCTAAGCGCCGGGAGCCAGTCATTCCCCTTCCCCGTCCACAGTCAGCATTGCTAGGAACACTTGTGGAAAAGCACAGTGTGAGGAAATGAATAATGAATCTGAGAACCATCGGGCTGGCTGGCGGCAGACAGGCTGGAGCCCAGGGTGAGGACACGGAGCCCCGCCTGGCAGAGGTGGGGGCGGTCTCGGAGGGGAAGCTGATGACTGGGCCCTGGCAGGGTGGGGGTGGGGGTGGGGATGCAGGTCCCCAGCCAGAGGTGTTCCACAGGCCAGAGGGTTCATACCTACCCTCTAGTGCAGGGGACTGGGGGGACAGAGTCCTCCCCCCACCACTTTTATCATGGCTGCAGCGGAAAAGTAACCGCTCAGAAAAAAACCCACCTCGGTTGAGCACCTACTGTGTGCCAGGCTTCAGATGGCGCTACCCTCTGCTTTCTCATCTGGTCTTTGCAAGTGCTTGGGACTTTGCAAGTCCCCATTCCACAGATGGGGACAGAGGCTCAGAGAGAGGTGACTTGTCCAAGGTCACACAGCCGCCATGTAGGGTGACAAGAACCCAGGTCTGGGACGCTGTCTGCAAAGGGCCTGCTTCTGCTGATTGGAGCACCCAGCTTCACCTCTCCCTGTCCGCTGCCGTCGCCGTCCCCCCGCCCCCTGCCCCACATGCACAGATGGCTCCTTTACATTGTGTTTTCTCAATTCCATTATCAAACGTCCTGAAGTAAGGGGTCCCCGCAGCCAAGACTGCGGAGGTAAGAAGCTGCGTGGTTGTGAAAGTAAATGTAGGGAGCCCGCCGCGTCGCAATCTTCCTCCCAGCGTGAGAACCTGCCTTCGAAAGGCTTCGAATCCCACCAGACGCATCTGTGCGCACGCGCAGTCGGCGCAATCTCTCCCTGAGACGCCGCTGTTGCTCTGCTGACCTGTTCGGAAGGGTCTGAACTGGGTTTCTGCACGAACTGCAGCTCCCCGCCCCCCACTCTCCAAGACTAACCGAATAACTGAGCTGCTAATTGGGGTTTATTCCGTTCCTCGGATAATGGAAATTGTCTTGGGGGGCGGGCAAAGGTGGACACCGCTCCCTCTGTTTGCTCATCGTTTGATACTGTTGATCACCCATCTGTACTGCCTGGCGCAGACCTGGAGACCAGAGGTGACAGGACCCAGCCCTGCCCTCCTGGAGCTCCCAGCCCCCCCAGCAGAGAGACCCCGGGCCCTGAAAAGGCGGCTGTGCCAGCTACAAAACTGCTGTGTGTTCCCAGCTCGCACAGTCCTTGCAGGTAAAACCTGCTCAGGTTTGTGTCCTCTCAACTCTCTCGGCCACCTCCCCCTACCGCAGGCACCTGCTGCCTTTGGTCCAGGGTGGACTCCTTCGTGGGGCCCAAACACGTGGACGAAAGGTAATCAGCCAAGGGCAAGAAAACTTGCAAACCACACGTTCGGACAGTTTGCTTTTTTTATGGTTTGCTCGTGTGTGACTGTGCTTTTATCACACGTGCTCACAGCATCACCTGGTTTCCTGCTGCGATATTACTGTTTCTTGATTCCCAGGACGGATGTCACTGTAGCAGTGACCCTGGTGTCCTCCCAATGGCCCCATGGCTTCTGGGGGCTCTGTGGCTAGAACATCCTTGAGGGAGGGTGGGCCTTGGGGTCAAGTTCCAGCCTTGCCATTTACAGGCTGTGTGATCTTGGATGCGTTTCTTTACCTCTCTGGGCTTCAATGACTCATGTATAAAATAGGAATGAACCAAAATAGGAATAAAATAGGAAAGGAGGGTCCCAGGGGCAGGGGGCAGAGAGGTTGAAGCAGATAACTAACTCTAAAACAACCTGGCACACAGTAGGTGTGCACTAAATGTAGCTATATCATCACTTCTACACATGGCCGCCCCTTGTATGTTCTGAGCCCCAATATGCCAGCCAGGCCCTGTGCTCTGTGCAGAGGACACAGCGGTGAATCAGGCCTGGCAGTTCTGAGGTGCAGTCTCGAGTTTGGGGGATCCTCTCACTGGCGAGAAGCAGCTCTTGGGCAGGACAGAGTCCGAGTCTGACTCAGCTGCTCCTGCTGCCCACCGGGAGCGAGTGGGTCAGTGCCAGCCTGGACTTTCTGGTGGGCAAAAACTGTTGCGGCCGTATCAGCAGCTCAGTTTGGCACTTTGTGGCTTCTGGCTGTTCCCCCCCAAATAGAATAAAACCCACACGGAAGGCAATGTGACTCCAAGCCATCGATCTGCCACCGTGACCCACTTGATGGGACTCTCAAAAAGGGGCTTCGGCAAGTGGCAGGGGACAAACGTGCATGTATGGGAGGGGGTACTTCAAGGGGGTCACCAGTGTGTTGTCCAAAACACCATCTGTGTATTCCCTCAGTGGTGGAATTTTCTGGAGCAGCAGTAAGTGGAGATCCGGCAAGGCGGGTGAGAGGGAGGAGCCCTAGGCAGTCTGGTGGAGGCTTAGGGGGGTGGGGGGAGGAGCTCTCCTCTGTTCAGCGTCCGGAGGAGGCCCCCAGGGGGGTAGCCCTCAATAAGCCAGGTACCAGATACCTAGAATTGCTCTGGGGAGGCCCCAGCCGCCTCTCCCCACACACCCACAGCCGCGCCTGCCACCGGCTGTACCCATGCCTCATTCCAGCCCGCCCGCAGCTGCCCCGGCAGCCGCCACATGACGACACCCTGGCCTAAGCCCCCTCTTCAGCGGCCTCTCTGAGGAGCTATTTGCAGAGGCCCCCCTCCGCACGCAAGGTGGGGGCTTCGCACGCAAGTGTCGGATTTTGAAAAGAGAGGAAGAGGAGCCCTAGCAGGTGCCCGTACTGCCACATGCGCCCCACCCCATCCACCCTGCCCACCCCGCCCACCCCGCCCCACCCCCGCTGGGGGTCTGTGTGCTGTGCGTCTGCGTGCGAACGTCATCCCCACATCTGCTGTCCCGTGACGAGGGCCATTGAAACTGCACAATGACGCCATCTGCCAGGGACAGCCAGCTGGCGCCAGGCGGACCCTAGTTGCCATGGCAACCAAGGTGGCGGCCGGGGCCTTCGGAAAACCCAGTAGCCTAAGGATGTGGCAGGCTCCCTACAGCGTGGCTCACTCAGAGGGAGGTGAACAGAGTAGAGATGGAGGAGGGGCTGATGGCCAGAGTCAGGGAGGCGGCTGGCCTCTGGGTGACGAAGCCCCTGCCCTGTGTCTTCTTGGGGTGCCCAGCTCTCAGGAGTCCATCCCCGTGGAAGGAGGCTGCCTGGCTTTCACAAGACATGCTCTGTCGGGTGCCTCTGCACACACCCCCCCTCTGCTTGGACTCTCTCTACCACTCTGCTCAGAAAACACCTCCTTGTCCTTCCAGACTCTTCCCAAACAGAGGGGACTGCATCTCACTGGGCGCGGGCCCACACACCGGGGAGCAGCCTGAGGGCAGAGATGGTCTAATTCTTCCCCCTGGTTGCCCAGCAAGGGCCCGGAATATGGAAAATTCTAGCAAATGCTAAATGAATAAATGAAGTCGCTTCACTGCTCAGCCACGTGCCAAGGGTTTCAACCCCCAGAGCCTCGGCCGCCTGGCGTTGCAGGAGCAAATGGGAAGGGGCGTGAGGGTCCTTCCCAATCCTACCTCGCAGGTGCGGGCCCAGGGCTGTCAAGGCCACCCCTGCCCGGGGACACCTGCTGCACCTTAGCTTGTAATTCTGGGCACGCGCTCAGAGTGCTGGGCTACACACCAGCACCAAGACCCTGGGGAGGGAGAGTGTCGACTATTTCCCTCTTTTGGGGATTAGGAGATGCAGGCCTGGTCACGCACATTGGGCCTTTCTGCTTCTTGGCACCCACTCCTCCCTCTCCCGGTAATTGGCCCCTGATTCTTCCCTGGCAGCCTTTGTCCTGGGCGTCTGAGTGGGGCTGGCGGCCTGGCACACTCCGTTCCTTCTCCAGGCCGCAAGGATGGCAGGGAACCTGAGCAGGGCCAATGACAACATTCTCCTACGCAGAACTCGGGCTGGAATTACTGAGAAAGGGGCATTTCCTGTCGGTAAATTAGATTTGAAACAAAGCCCATGCAGAGGAATGCAGATTGAAGAAAGACCTATTGCAGACAGTATTTGCGCCTGGATCCAGCCATGCCTGAAACCTACACCCTGCAAAGCAGCTCGATGTGGGGTCTGTCTCATCTGTAACAGAGCCCTGACTACTGCAAATCTAGTCAGAGCCAGAAATGAAAGTGCCAGGACCGGACCCCTGATCCTGAATCCTATTAAAAGCATGGACAGGTGCAGAAGCCCGAGGGCTGTGAGGCCTCAGTTTCCCCCTCTGTGATATGGGGACAATCACCCATCTCTTCACCTCAGCCGACTCGGTATCAAACACGTGCGGGCCTCTTGGCTGAAACAGGGCACCGTGACGCTGCTCTTCTGGCCTCGAGGACATTGTGAAAGGGAGGCCAGGGAGCCATGAACACAGACAGGTCATGAGGATCAAAAAGAAAGGACATGAGCTTGAAGCCACCCCGCAGAAGACTGGCCTGGGCGGAGATGATGACAAAGAACGAGAGAGAGAGAGAGAGACCAGGCAGGAGGGAGAGAGAGAGGAAACCTGACGATATCGGCAGCTGCGGGGGGAAAACAGACTCGGGGGTTAAGGGGGCCAGTCTTCCCTGCAAGATTCACAGAGAACAGGGTCAACCCTGCTGGGAATAATTTCCACAAAACTGAGAAGCTGGAGAAAACCACAGACAGCTGATCGAGCCATACGCAGATCTGCTAGAGAAGCAGCTTTAATGCCATTCCCCTCGGGAAAAAGCTTTCTCCATGAAATGCCATGGACCCTGATGTGACTCCAGTGGCGTGTCTGAACTTCCCTGGGATCAAAGCTCCCCCACCCCCCACTGGGTACAGCCTGAGCCCCCAGCCCCAAGGGCTGTGCCCTGTTGCTTCAAGGACTGGTGGGGCTGCTGATTGCAGGAGCCCACAGTGGGCACCCCCCGCCCACTCACCGTGGTGATGAACCTGTACAGAGGCTGCCGTCTCTCTGTGTACTTGACCGTGATGGGGCTGAGGTCGTATCGGAACCAGATGGCAGGGATGATGCGGCCCGTGTGGCTGTAGGCCACATACTCCTGGGATGGAGGAAGAGTCGGGGGAGGCAGGAATGTGAGATGCAGGCACACAAACCGCATCGCACGGCGGGTGGGGGCTGGCATACTAAGGGCCCCCCTGCAGCCCACGAGAATGGGCTTTCCTCCCTCCCCCCCCCCCCCGCCCAGGGAGCCAGCCCCCCCAGCCCCTCCTCTCACACCATTCCTCCTGAGGCTTGGCCATCAGTGTGTGGATGGGCAACACGGCTGGGGAGGGGGGGGGGGTTTGACCTTTTCCACTGCCTGGAAACTACATATTTTGATTCCAGAAGCAGCACCAGAATCAAAATATGAATCTGAGCACAGAGATGGAAAAGGACAGTGTGACCTACGCTCCATGTGAATCAAGGCCTGGCTCAACGCCCGGGCTGTGCAAAATCCATTCATTTGTTTGCTGAGAGTTTCCCGAGCGCCTCTTCTGTATGCCAGTGACTGGCACCGTGAAGGCAGCTGGGGACCCCGAGGGGGCGAGCCCCGCCCTGTCCCCAGAGGAGGGTCACGGTCTGGAGAAGGCAGACGCAACAATACGGGCAATACTGTGACACTGCACATGCCCTGACAGGGACATGAGGTGCTGCGGGGGTGCGAACAAATGACCAAGTCTCCCCAGGGGCCTCTGGAAGGCTTGGTGAGGAAGGGACATTCTATGCCAAACGGACATCCCGAGGAGTGTGTAAGGGACAGAGAGATGCCTCTGAAGGCCTTGTGGGGAGTGAGGTTCTTTGGAGAAGGAACACACAGAACTGGAAAGCCAGAAGGCTCAGCCCTACAGCAAGCCCCTCCTGAGAAGGCCCCTGGCCAGGACCAAAGGATGTTTGGGGCCGAACAACCGTGTGTTCTCTCTGGTCTGGGCGCTTCGGGACACTGGAAACCTCTGCGATACCCTCACTCATCTACCACACCTGCAGACCAGGCTGAACCCCCGCAGCGCCCCAGGCCCAGTGCTGGGCCTGATCCGGGGCTTCTGCCTTCTTTGTTCACTGTCCCCATGGGCACCGCTCCCTCTCAGGGCAGGCTGGGGCCAAGGCCACAGAGAGAGCTGAGCCAGCTGCTCTGGCCACAGGGCCCTCGCCAAAGCCTCAGGGGAAGGAGCCTTGGGCAAAACAAGATCAGCTTTCTCCAAGGAGACCTGATGGGGCAGAGTGACTGGGTACAGCCTTGGGCTGAGGGACAGAGGAAAAAAAAAGGAAAAAAAAAAAAAAAAGCAGCATTCATCCACAGCATTATCCGGTGCCCAGTTTGAAAGGCACTGCCTCCTTTGACAGCGATCTTATAAGGAGGGCATCCTTTTACAGAGGAGTAAACTGAGGCATGGGGGGGGCCCTGGGATGAAGGGACTGGGCTGGGTCTGCACCGGCAGTCCCTTCCACACCTCATGCTCTCTCTGCTCAGACCGCAGCCACGGTCTCCCAGCTGCTGGGGCCGGCAGCATCTGAGGGTGGCGAGGGCACACCCTCCAAGAAATGATGGACAATCAGAGAAGCAGGTCTTTGGGAGAGTTATCTGAGGGGAGGGCCCTCCGGTCACCCGGAGGGAGGAGCTCCCAGCCCCGAAGACTCTTGCCCCTGGTTCAGACTGAATGGCGATGTGACCCAGGGGTCAGGCTCTGGGGCCCGATGAGACCCTGGTTCTAATCCCCACTTGGCCATTTTGTAGCTCAGTGACCACCTTTCTGTGCCTCAGGGGTCCAATCTGTGAAATGGGGACAATCAGAGTCCCGATCTCAGAACTGTCATGAGGACTGAAAAAGATAATGTACAACCCATTAAAGGTGCCCAAGAAGTGATAGCTACACTTACTGTTACTATTATTAACTGAGCTAAACACTGTATCACTTAGGAGGGCTTTGGGCAGCCCTGGAACGGAAGAAAAAGGAGCTCGGTGGGAAAGGGGTCTCCGAGGCAGGGGGTGGGGGGCTCAAGCAAAGGGCTTCAGGCACTCACAGGGTCCTCTCCGCGGAAGCCCAAGGCTCTCAGCTTGAAACCACTAACTGCTGGTCGCCCCATTCTCCTGGCTCTGACCATGCCCTGCCTCCCCTGCAGCCTGCCTGCTTCTCCATGACTTTGAGGGTTGGGGTTGTGGGACATGCCTGCTAACCAACGGCCACTGGGGGCATTCAAGAGCCTCATGATTTTGGATAAGGTACTTGTGTCCTGAAAGCCAGAGCATCTGTCATGTGCTGACCAATCAGGGTCCTGAGTCTGAAGGACCGGGGCCAGATGCAGGACTATGGAGACACTTGCCACCCCTGGACCTGGGTGGGGAGGCCACCCGCCTGCTCTTTCTCAAATCGTGGCCAGACTCTCGGCACCTCTGCTCTAGGCCAGCAGAGGGTGCTATTGCACGCAGCCCGGCCCGCCGCCAGCGTACCTTATTGGCCACAGTGTACTGGTAAGAGTACCGCTGCTTGCCATTCTTGTCTTCGTAAACCGTGGGCACGATCTTCAAGATGTAGTCATGGGAGGCGAGGGCTGCGGGAAGGACACAGCAGAATGAAGCAGGGGGACGGGCACCGCCTGGCTGGCAGCTCCAGGTCACGTCAACCTTAAATTTGCTGGGCATTGCCAGTGGCTGGGGGGTGGGGTGGGGCTGCGGGCTCCCCCTTTGCATCGCCAAAGGACCCCTCTTCATTTTCTCCTGTTGACACCGGGCTTTGAAAGACTACTTCTGTAGTGCACATTCCATTTCTGGAAGCGACGCACCGTCTGTCAGTAGGGGAAGGATTGAAAGGTGGGTGCTGGGAGAGGCCATGTTCCAAGAGGAACTATGATGTCAAAAGAACCAAGTTACATAACAGAGTGAATAATGGGTTTCCATGCGTGGGGCAGAGGGAAGGCTCACGCTCCCCTTATGCAAAAATACGTAGAAGACTGCTCTGGAAAGATACCCAGAGAACTACTAGCAGTTTTAGCCTCTGAGGAGGGAGGCAGGATGTGATCGAGATCACATTTTATTGTGCACCCTCTGGTCCTGTTTGAATGTTGTGACTTTTAAAACAAACTGGGTTGAGGTTTTAAAAAGAAGGCGCCCACAAACCATTTCTGGTTTCCATGAAGAATTGATGAATTTCTCTCCCCATTTTTCAATTCACGGGAGATGTGTTCTCCCTCTACCTGGCCCCGTCGCAGATTCTGGGGTAACTCTCACTCCCTTCCCTGCGGGGTGGGGAGGCCTCAGAGGGCAGGGACCTTACTCATCCCCGTGTCCGTGTCCCCAGAGCCCTGCATGGGCTGGGTAGGGAGCTGGGTACGGCTGGGTACAGCCGCTAATGCTCATTGAATGAATGAACAGGTGGAGGGATGACTGGTCAGAAGCATGAATGGGACAGCAGATGAATCAGCTTCTGATAAGCATGAGGTAACCGGAATTGAACGCTGGGCCCAGAGAGTATTGGCCCAAAGCTGCCAGACATTGCCAGGGAGAGGTATGAATTCCCTTGGGCCTTCTGGGACTCTCAGAGAAGCCAGGGTCAGGGGTCATGGAGCTAAAAGAACAGAAATCAAAGATGTCGGCCCCTGGGTTGTGATCCTGGCCTCCTGGCTGAGTCAGCCCTGGGCCCTGCACTCATGTTGTGGAAGAGATGGGGGATGCAGCTGGTGTCTGCGGCCTCTTCCTGCTAACACTGAGTCTCGGGAAGGAAGGGACAGAGCTTCCGGAGCTGTCTGCAGACTGGAGTCCTCTGGGAACCTGAGAAGAGCCCTGCAGCCTCGGGGCTGAGCCCATGAAGACCCTAATGCCCCTCCGCTCAACCCCGAAGCAGTCCTCAGATAATAAAAGCACCAGAGTCACCTAGGAAAGGCAGACACCTGGGCCTCACCCCCGAAGCTCTGTGTCTGGGCCAAAGCTCAGAACCCATCTGTACTTTACAGCAGGAGCCCAAGACCGCCCTTGAAATACAGCGCTCCAAGTGCCCATCACCCGGGTAAAACCCTGAGGGCATGGAAATCTGTACTGGTTCTAGTAAACAGAATGGGGGGGCCGGGGAAGCAGGGGGGTAGTGAGGGACAACAAAGAAGGCAGAGGGCGTCAAATACACGGTGACGGAAGGAGGCTAGCCCGGGTCGTGACCACTCAGTGGAGTATACAGACGTCATATTATACTCATGTACCTGCAATTTCACGTCACTAACCAATGTCACCCCAATACAGTATGAACAAATTCAAAGGGGTTCTGTTAAAATGTGTACAAAAAATGATCAGGAATAAAAGAAATAAAACTCACAAGTCCACCATCCACAGGAAACCGCGGATTCTCACTCTTGTGTACGAGCTGGCAGACTTGTACGCATGTACACGTTTGCGTTTTCCTAAAATTGGATGACACTGTGCCTTTTACTAAAAACTGAACGCCACGGACCCCAGAGGGCAGGCTCCAGGGTGGGGTCGGTTCTGCGCACTGCCATGCCCCCAGCCTGGTGCCTGGCATGTAGTAGGTGCTCAGTAAACGCCGGCTGCCTGAACGTTGGTGAGGTTCTGACACACTGTGGTCGGTGATGGCAGGCAGCCTGCGGTGTGGCCACGGACACTGTCCCTGCCCCGAGCGCCCACAGCTAGACACAGACCTCATTTTCACTCTCATAAACAATGACCTAATGGACATCATTTTCCTAAATCGCTGGACACTCTTAATTCTTTCCTTAGCTTCCTCTCTCATGAGCAGAATGGATGACTCAAACGCAATGACCAGTTGCAGAGCCTTTGATACGATTTGCCAAATATCCGCTAGAGACCTTGCACCTAACGTACCCACATGGATTCCTCGTCAGCTGACCCCTCCTCACGGCTAGTGACTCCAGCGCCATCCACGCAGGCCCACGTACCCTTCCTGCTTCCTCCTGCCCTGCACGCATCTCCTTACGGAGAAGCTGGGCAAGACACAGGGATCGTGGAAGGAGCTCCCCTGCACCCGTTTCCCGGAGTCCCAGCGAACAACCATGGCCAATGCGCTTCGACGAGACCGCATTGCCCCTCCTCTCCCATTTGATGTTGAAGCTGACCCTAGACATCACGTCAACTCATCCACAAGCATTTGCGTGCGTGCTGTCTCCCTGAAAGATAAGAACTCCTTAGAAAAGAACACCAACCACCACAAGGCCACCATCACAGCTCAAACGTCAACAACTTCGGCATCGTCGGCATCTTCAAAGAGAGCGGCCTGAGCTGGGAAAGACAGTGAACTCGTTCCTTAGGAGGAGTGGGGTCAGGTCTACAGAGAAGGTGGTCAGGGAGGGCCTCCGAGTGGTGGCGTTCGTGCCGACACCAAAATGACAAGAGGCAGCCCCCTGGGAAGACAGGAGCGCAGGGGGACCCCCCAGAGGCGAAGGCCCCCTAGCGCGGACCGATGCTGAGAGCTCAGGAAATGACAGGCTGTCCCAACACCCTCCATCTGGCCCTCTGCCACCAGACCTGATGCGTTTTTCTGGCCACCGAGCCAGCCTGGGACAGCTTGCGTCTCAGCCCCAGGCGGTACCGTTTCCTGCCCGGACCCTCTGCTGGCTCCCCCTCTGGGCCCTTGAGCTGGATCGGTGTCCCATCCTGGGCAGCTGAGGGTCCGTGCTAACTGCAGGCACATGTGGATGGCCACCTGGGGACCCCACGCTGCCCTAACACAGACCTCTGACGACCCCCCGCCATCTGCGACATTCACACACACACACAGGCAGTGCCGTCACGAGCTCAGGCACTTCTGGTGGCAGCGTGAACGGGTGAGGGCCACTGGGAAGGCACTGGGGAGCTGATAACACGGCAGGCACGGGACGTGTGGGCAGCACTGCTGATGCAGCAAAAATGCACTGGCCTGGCCGAGCCGCTGGGCGGGCGGCTGGGCCTTCGTCACGGCCGGAAACACCGGACAGAACTGTGGTTAGGTCATGAGGCCGAGTGCAAAAATCTCAAGGTGACCTGCTGCCTACGCTTTGAAGAAATGAGCCCTGGCCGTGGACAAGAACCCGCAGGGACACAGAGAATGGTGAGTAGGGTTTCCTGGGGGCGGGGCAGGGCCCGGGGAGATGTGTTCTCTTATTGAGGTTCCTGATGATTGGCGAGCAGAAGGTATTTGAAGAAATGCTAGGAAAAGCCTTATGGATAAGAAAGGTGAGCTCAGGTGAGGAAGTTGGGAAAGGCAAGGTGACCTGCCCTGCAGCCTCCCAGGCCCGGTCTGTGCTCACGCCCAAGGCCCTGAGTGTGCCCGTGCTTTCCAGCTGGTGTGTAAACACAGGGCACAGTAACCTGGGCCGAGGTGCCAGGAGCTGAGCCAGGAGAGGACTTGGGAGGGGGTCAGCAGAAGGGAGGGTGGGGTGGGGGCAGTGGCCCAGGTAGCCAGACCTGACTGAGCCGCCCACAGACCTGGTCTCAGGCAACCATGTGACCCAGGAGGGGTGCCACTGCTGGGCCACTACTCCCTGTGGGACCTGAGGTGACTCATTTAGGGACTGAGAATGGTAACAGCGGCTACAGTCATGGCTGCCCACGAGCACTGATGGAAGTGCCCGGGGCTGCGCTGACTTTCCCCAGGGTCAAGTCAATTTCTCTTCCCTTCTCTGAAAGATAGAGCGAGTTCCATCTTCCTCCCAGGCTCGCTGTGCGGAAGAGGCCTGGCTTACCGGGAGTGCCCCGCACCGGTCCCTGCCTTCCCCCACTCTCTCTGGGCAGCGCCGGGATTGCCCGGGTGGGAGGCTGCTCCCAGCGGCAACACTTACGGTTGGAGGTGAGTCTGTCCGCTCCCCCGAGGGCATTGAACGCTCCATGGACATTCTGGACCTGTGGAGAGACACAGCAAGGGGGCTGACCTTGAGATGCCGCCCCCTCCAGACCTGGCCGTGGTTGCCAGCGGACAACCAGGTGCGATCTGGTTTAGGGACCTCCTGTTTGTAAAATGGGAGTCCATCAGGGTCTGCCTTGTAAAGAAGTTGTGGGGAGCAAGATCCAGACACTGCACAGGCCCGGCACACAGTAGGCCCTAGCTTCCCATCTTGGGCACCTACTATGTGCGCTCTGTCCTGGGTACTCTGGGGCCTGGCACAGACCCTGGTGCAGAGCGGACATCTCTAGAGAGTCCGATGAATCCATGAGTGTTCGAGGCATAGAAAGGAAGACCCAGAGCCAGACACGCCTGGTCTCTTACAGCTGTGTGGCCTTGGGCAAGTTACCGAACTTCTCTGAACCAGTGTCCTCATCAGGAAAAGTAAATCCTATCCCACACCGCTAAGGGAGGTATTTTTTTTAAAGATATCACTTATTTATTTTTAGAGAGGGGGGAAAGGAGGGAGGAAGAGAGGGGGAGCAACATCCATGTGTGGTTGCCTCTTGCATACCCCCTACTGGGGACCTGCCCTGCAACCCAGGCATGGGTTGCATGAATTGAACCGGCGACCCCTTGGTTTGCAGGCCAGCACTCAATCCATTGAGCCACCTCAGCCAGGGCTCCTGAGGGAGTTTTTGACAGGATTACAGAAGGAGTCGCCTACAACCCTGTATTCTAAGTGACAAAGGGCAGGCTTCTCACCAAGCAAGGCCTGGGGAGGCCAGTACCAGGCTGCCAGCCGCCCCCCCCCCCCAGCACTATGGCCAGGCAGTCACTCTCCCTCTGAGCCTCGGTTCCCTTTGTCACACAGGCTACAAGAGCAAGAGTCTGGGGGCCGTCAACGCTCCCCTGGCTGCAGCCGGCAGAGTCGGGCCGTCAGCGTCTGGTCCTCCGTGTTTGCTGCTGTGAGTTTGAAACCGCCGGCGGGGCCTGCTGCCCTCTGAGTCACACAACCAGGGCTCGGAACACCCTGTTCACCGCGCAACCCACTGAACAGCGTGGGCCGGAGCGGAGAGGCCGTGGGGCCACGGAGGGGGGCGGGCTGGACTGTGCGGTCAGACAGATCTCAGGGGTCCCTGCACGAGTGGCTTCTCTGGTCCCAGCTCCACGTCTGTGAAACGTGGTGCCCCCTCCCACTGCATGAGGCTGCGCCGACAGAGAGGAAGCATTAGCACTGAGTACTTGCTTCCCCGGGACTAGGCCTCAAGCCGAGGGTCCAAGGCCAGAGTGCTGTTGATGAGACAGCAGCCGTGCACTCAGGAGGAGCAAACGGAGCGGGCGCAGGATGGAGCAGAGGCTCAAAGGGGGCGGCGGCCCCTCCGGACGGCATCGCTCTGTGCCCAGGAAGGACAGACGGCTCTGGTGACACCGCCCCCGTGCGCCCATCCCCGGCCACACCGCCTGCAGTGTGGCCGCTCACCTGTAGCGTGTCCCCAAAGGAGAGCTTGTGGATGACGTGGGTCATGTCCGGGTTCTGAGGCTGGGCCGTGGCACTGTGTGTGGACACATGGAAGTTGCCCGGGACCTGGGGAGAGAGGCAGGTTGCAGGAGTCTGGTGGGCTCTCCCGGAGGGTGGGGCACAGGGCTGTGCCCTGGAGCCAGACAGATCTAGATGGGGACCCCAGCGCGGTCAGGCCTCGAGATTGGAGGGGCCACTGCCCATCTCTGAGCCCTGGCTTCCTCATGGGCTGAATGTGGCAATGACGGTAGCTGCCCAAGGGGACCACTGGGGCTGGAGCAGGGTGCAAAGCATGTCTGTGAAGTGTCCTACTGGACACCGGGTGCAGGGCCACGGACTGAGACAGCAGCTGCCCGCCACCCACTCCTGGCCACTGGCTCCACAGTGGGTCGGGGGGCGACCTTCAGGCCAGCAGAGCAATGCAGCTTCCTGGAACTCCGAATCAACTCATTGCCCACAAGGGGAAGAAGTACAGCTTATGGTCTAGCAGCTTATTTTGTAAACACGGCTGTTTTAAACTCTGCAGTCCTCTCTCAAGGAATACACGTCTTCTCTAGGGCCTGGGCTGTGCGCTGACTCGGGAGGAACTTGGCGGACAGTGCGTGGCCAGCCTCGGCAAGCGCACAACAAGTGGCCAGCACGGCATCTGGGCCCTGGGCCCAGGGGGTGGGGAGGAGGGGGCAAGCCACTGGGTCTGGGGTGAGCAGGAGGGACAGCATCACCCATTCAGAGCCTGATTACCTGTGACAGGGCAGCAGCTGAGTTCCACATGGTGGCTCCCATCTGGCCCTGCCTCCCAGCTGAACATGGTCATTGGCTACTCTGGGTCTCAGTCTCTCCATCAGCACAATGGGGATGACAACCTCAGGGGGTTACCGGGAGGATTAAACGAGGTGACGAGTGCCAAGCCGATGGCACTGTCACTGGGTTGCGTTCGTAGGTTGCACCACTTTGTCGTCAGGGAGAAGGACCTCCCGGAGGAGGGGACAGCGTGTACACAGGCAGGCGTGGGGAGGAGCCACCGCCCTTAAGAAACACTTTACACTTCATTTTTACTTGTGCAGGTAACACGTGGAGACAGCTCTATTACAAAAACTTCACGAGATAAAGTCAGGGCTCCAGTCCCCATGGCCGACCACCCCCAGACACAAGGACAAGACGGCATCTGGCAGGAGTCCTGCGGCGCTTCCTGTGCGGTGACGTGGGGCCCCCTGCGGACGTGGGCAGAATCGTGTCTGGGGCCCGCGCCGCCCGCTCCCAGAGTTCAGTGGGCCAAGGAGGCTGGCTCCTGCGCATCTGCCACCCGCTGCCGCCCCTCGGGCTGTGACTCAGTGACCCTCTCCCCCTGGGCATCCATCACAGGTGGCTGACTCATCCCGGCACACGCTGGGCCGGAGAAAGAAAAGACGGCGCTCTTAGAGCCTGTGACTTAGGAACCTGCGTCAGTGCCTCTGATGGATTTTAAAAATACATTGCCGGAGCCAGCCTCAAACCCCGGCTCACCCTGCCCTCTTCCCCGGGGCGCTGGGTGATTAAGCGAGGAGTGTGGGGGCTGAGGGCTGCCAGAGCAGCTCAAGACACGTGCACTCTGACTTCTGGCTGCTGACCAGCCTCCTGGTGGGTGGACAGGAGGCCGCAGGGTAAGTGCGAGCCAGATGGAGCGAGATAAAGGGGTGGGGGTCAGCTGCAGGCCCCGCCTGCCTCCATGGCTTTCTCCTCCGAGCCACCGTCTGGCTGAGAGACTCTCGAAGGCACGACCCCTTAGCCCGCCCAGGGTGGGTGGGGGTCCGAAGGGGCCCTGAACTGTGCTCCGGAGTGAATAAACACACTGGTCAGGTCCCGTGTGACCGAGGTGTCTCAGGGGAGAGAGCAGGAGCCCGGGTGTGCGTGCCAGCACTGGGACTCCGCCCACCCGTCCGACACGCAGCCCCAGAGCAGGTCACCCACCCTGAGACCTGGCAGGTGCCTCATACAAAGTATTGAACTAAATGAATGTATAATAATAGCTCATTTACTCCTCACACAAGTTTTGTGAAGGAGGTGCATCATCACACGGTCATTCCATCCTCCCCCTAAAGATGTGAAAACTGAGGCTAAGACGGGCCGAGGGGCTCGGAGGGCATGCCTCGGCCAGGACGGGATGGAGCTGGGGCTCGAATGCAGGGCTTGGGGCTGCCAACGCTGCGGTCTCCCACCCCACGCTGCCCAATTCCACGCTGCCTGATCCTGCCAGCAGGGGCTCCAAGCCCCAGGGGGCCCGGAACCCCCACCCAGACGGTCACTAGGAAACCCCAGACACCTGGGTATTGACCTCAGCCTGCAGGGGGGTGGCTGGGGGAGGCTAGTGGGTGCGTCAGGGTCTGGGGAGGAAGGGGACAGAGGAGATGGGGACCGGGGTCTCTATACCTTGTTGATGCTGAACTGGCCCTCGAAGCGGCAGCCCGCCCCGTTGTTCAGCGGGACCTTCATGGAGTTGTCGATGTGCCCCACCTCGTGCCTGCCCATCTCATCCTGGATGTCGAGCCCGACCACTGCGACAGCCAAGGAGAGAAGAGTCACAAACACCCAGAGAGACGGGGGTGAAGCACCAGCCCTCTCCCCAATCCCCTCCGTGGACAGGCCGGGCCTTCCAGGAGCTCATGGTCTGGGGCCCAGAAACACAGAGAGGAAGTCAGGCCGCAGGGGAGGAGGACAAAGGGACCCTGGACGAAGAGGGAGCCAGCGGCCCTCGTCCCCGCCACTGCCTGCACTGGGAAGGAAGAGGGGAAAGAGAGGAGGGGGGTAGCAGCTAGTGGGGCCAGTGAGGCAGGATTGCAGGGTGTGGGGGTGACGGCTGCCCCATGGGAGGCTGCAGACTGCAGAGGGTCAGGGTTAGGAGACGGCCTGAGTCATGGCCCCGCCTGCCTTGTACCAGCTGTGTGACCCTGGCTGAGGCCCTTAACCTCCCTATGCCTCAGTTTCTGTCTTGGGAAATGGGGTGATAACAATGAGACCTTCCTTGGAGGAGCGTGAGGATCAAACAGTTCATATGTGTAGAAAACGCTTGGAACAGGGCGTAATGCACAGGAAGTGGCCGCTGCGTAATAAACTTCAACACTTAGTGTGTCTCAGACAAAATCTGGGTTCACTGGTCAAACAGGCTCATTCATTCATTCATTCATTCATCATTAGTTCACTCATTCATGCATTCACACCTTCCCTTCCCCCAATACCTATTCCTCCAGGCCTTGCCCTGCCAGAACACAGGCTCAATACACTAAATGGGAAACCTGGGGCAGCCTGGTCCCCGACTCCAGTGTGTCTCTACCACCCCTGTGACTCAGCTTCCCAATCTGGGAAATGGGCAGGTGCATGCCAACTGCATGTCCCAAGCTGGTCCAAGCGGCAAGGTGGAGATGGAGGTGGTGGGGTCCCCATAACCCACAGAAACACAGCAATTTCCCTGGAAGGATCGCTGGGAAGGAGGTTTCCATGTATAGAAAGAGCAGCTGGAGGTAACATTTTAAACGAGCCAATCCTGCAAGGGAGCAACGGGAACCACTGCCACGCCCTCGGTGGAGACAGGGAAGGGAGCAAGGGCCCGCCCACAGATGAGGATGGGATGCAGCCCCTACAAAGGATGCTCAGGGGGCTGCAATAGGTGGGAAGGTCGATGCCTCAATGTTCGGTTTAAAAGAACACACACGCGGATCCCCATGTGAGTCAGCAGTCGCTTCCCGGGAGGCTGTCCTCCGCATGCACACGTGACCAGACAAGTGCGCAAGGCTGCTCAGGGCAACCGTGTTTGAGATTGCGACAGCTGGAAGCAGCCCAGCTGCTGGTCAGCAGGGGCCTGGCCAATGGAACGGCCCCCTCTGGAAGGCTGGGCAGCGGGTACAGGAAGCCTCGGAGCCCGCGTGCGGGAGAGGCTGCCCACGGCAGGGCAGCGGCTGAGTGTGGGGGTGGGCTTCACGCAAGTTACCTAACCCCTCTGTTTCTCAGTTTCCTCCTCCATCCTAGGTTTCTGAGGACAAAGAAAAAATTAAACACAGCACTTACTATGCACCAGACACCTTTCTAAGTGCCTTTTATGTAAGAATGCACCATCTGCCCATTCCCATGGGGAAGGTAATGTTATCAGACCCATCCTTTTTGGGGAGACACTGAGGCACAGAGAGGTTAAGGAACTTGCCTGTGACTGCACAGCTAAGAAACGATGATGCGTGGATTGGAACCCATGGAGTCTCGATCCAGAGCCCATGCCCTGTGGACACTCTGCTAGACACCCCTCGTCTTCACACACCAGCACAGCCAAAGCATCGAAGATGGGGCCCGGGCCGGGCTCAGAGGCCACTGAATGCCTGCTGGGGTTACCGCGTCACTAATCCGACGAGCAATGTAAGAACAGCCCCAAGTCATTCGCTGAAAAAAGAAGCCCCAGAAAGGTCCCATACAGTTGGGTCCCCATGATGGAAAAAGAAAAGAAGACTGTTGATGGACAGCGAGGCAGGCAGGCAGACGGACAGAAGACATGGGTGGGAGCTGAGGTCCCCACTGTTGGCAGAGGCTCCCTCCGGAGTGGGTGGCCCCCTGGGGGAACATGTGTTTCTTTCAGTGTTTCCTTGATCTATTTCTGTACTTTGAACGTGTCATCCTTTTCAAAAATAAAACGTGTATTCCTGGATTAGTTGTGTAACCAAAAAACCCCATTATTTTAGAAGCAGGACATGGGATCGCACAGCAGGACCTCAGCGGGTGCAGAAACGCGTGGAAGGGGACGCTAGGGAGACCTCATGGCCTGGGACGTCCACCGAGGCCGTCGTGGGAGTGAAGGGGGGCGGTTTCTCCTCTCTCTGCTGCTCTGGATTTTCCAAAAGTACCATGGTGAGCACGCATTTTTCCTGCTATAACGTAAACCTGACACAGAGCTCTGGCAGAAGCCACCCGGGTTTGGGTGACGGCCCCGCAGAGCAGCAGGGCCCCACAGGCCGGTGCAGCCACAGTCTGAGGTCGCTGGGCCCCAGCCTAGAGCCACATCCCTTCCCTCCCCTGCCCCACGGGGCCCAGTCCTTGTTCCAGAGACATGACCAACTCCTGAACGAGAAGCTGCCAGATGAATTATTTTTCTAAGAGAGAGTAAGACAAAAATAAAACCGACCTATTCCAACAGGTTCCCTGGCTTGGGACCCACTGTGGATTCAAAGTGGTGATGTCATTCTCGGCAAGAGTGGTCACAGGGCTGCCTCCTCATCGCTGCCTGCAGAACCTCCAGCGTGCTGCCCCGCAACAGGATGGGAGCGGGTGCACGCCAGGCTGGGCCAGAGAAACAGCTGGAGCCCCAGTCCCCTCACCCGCGGGTCTAGGAACCAGCTTATCACGTCCTCTCGACAACTTCGGGCGATAGTTAGCACTGAGCCCATTTTACAGATGAGAAGACTGAGGCTTGGAGCAGTTACCGTAACCGGGGTCATACACTTTTAATGACCAAAGGAGCCAGAATCTGACACCGCACACCAGACTTCCACTGAGTTTTGTTTACACAAGTAATTCGTTCTCTTGGTTGAAACAAAGGAAACAAACGAGGTAGGGCCTGATCGAAAGGAGGTGTTCCCACAGCCGCTAAGAGCTCAGAGCTGCCTCCTCCTCCAGGTGACTGGTTGGCTGGAGGGCTCCCTGCCTTCAGATGCCCGGGAGGTTCTATGACCCTCCACCCATTCCCCACCCAACACCCTGCAGTGGTTAGTCAAGGACACCAGGGATGAGGATAATGACAGCCAGGCCCTTTGCCACCGGTGGGACAAACTGCAGTGCCCCTCACATGCCACACATCTCTGCTTGTCCTCTCGCCTCCCTCACGCCCTTACCGGTTCCTCCTGAGAGCCCTCCCTCAATAGATCCATTTTTGGAGAAGCGGACTCTGCTTCTTGGGAACCTGAAGTAAGAAACATCCCTGCCCCCCTGGAACATGTATTCTCCAGAGGAAACACCCCTTAGCAGCGTCTTGTTTTTTCTTCCAGAAACCCACCAAGTACGTTCCAATGGGGTCATATTCTCCCCCAAAGGGGTGGGGAGAATCTCATGCTGCCTGCGGTTGGCAGCCCGCCCTGTTCACTCCCCTGGTCCTGGTTCTCATGCCACTTAAAGGAGGGGGTCCTGCCACGGATACTCACATTCACAGTGCAGGTTGGGCAAACTGATGTTCAGGCTGACGTCGATTTTGCCCCCGCTGTCCTTGTCCGGGTCATCGACGTACAGCTCATTCACACTGCGGGAGACAAGCACAGAAGCCTTTGCTGGAATGAGGGCGGCTGCGGGGACAGCCAGGGACCACCCCCCACAGTGACTCCTGCTCCGATAGCCTGCATCACTCCCCTGGCGGGAAGCCCGCGCCTGCCCAGGCGCAGGGCAGCAGGGCTCCCATCCTGATGGCGAGGGTGCTCCCCAGATGCTGGCCTTCCCGCTCCGAGGGAGGGTGTGGGGGTGTGGGGGTGTGGCAGGAGCACGGGGCTCAGTTCAGGTTCCAGTCCCGGCTGTGCCACTCTCCGTGGGGACTCAGCAGAGGTCACCTCTGGGAATGCATCTGTCACATGGGTGTGAGTGGGGTGGTGTGAAAGTGGACACGAGAACTGCGGGCCTTGCTAGGGATCCAGGCCTGGCGCCACCAGCAGGCACACGGCACCTCCCTCCCTCCCCGCTGTGAGGTCGGGGCTCCCTGGGTGCCCGTCCTCATGCCCCGGCTCTCACAAGCCCTGGGCGGGTTGCAGGTCTGAGAACAACCAAACCGACGTATCAGTATCTTGTGGCTGCTGTAACACGTGGTCGGGAAGGTAACGACTTAAAACAGCACCCATTTATTAGCTTCCACTTTGGAGGCCAGCCGTCTACAGTGGGTCTCCAGGGAAGAGTCCCCTGTCTTGCCTTCTTTGGTTCTGGCAGCCACCTCTGCTCACAGCCCCTGCCTTCACCTTCCCGGCCAGCCGCATGGCACGTTCTCTCCTCCTGCCTTCCTCTTAGAACCCTTGTGAGTTCGCCCTGCCCACCTGGGTAACCCAGGACCACCTTCCCATCTCATGACTCCAGACATCATTACACTGGTAAACTTTCTTTTTCATATACAGTCACACAGGCGCAGGTTTCAGGGACAGGCACGTGGACGTCTCTGGGGGGAGGCATAGTTCGGGGGCAGGCGGCTCCCTGGACACCTTGACAGCCTGCTATCAGGGACGGCGGCGACACACTGTGATCTGTGAGCAACACCCGTGTATTTAGCCAACCCTCTGAGCACCTAGCCTGTCCGCACCAGAGTGACAGGAAGCAGACCCACGTGGTCTCAGCTTTCACGGAGCCCCCAGACCTCCAAAGCCTCCCAGGGACACAGCACCCACCATCCACGATCACAGGGCCCTGCTTGGGCTGGACCAGGTGGCTGACCTTGGGGGAGTGTCAGGTGAGGCTGAGGGTGAAGAGGCTGTCCTGGCAAAAAGGGAGGGGGCGCTTGGGACAGAGGCCTGGGAGTGTGAGGGCAGGGCTCACTGGGGAACTGAGTGAAGGTTGCTGTGGCTGCAGTGGGGAGCAGTCGTAGACTGGGTGGGGCCCAGGTCAGGGGGACCCCGAGCCCATGCTGACACTTTCGCACTTGAACCTGAGGCAGCTGCACTTTACTAGGCTCCCCCTGTCTGCTGCCAGGAAGGCTGATCGGAGGGGCCACTGTGCACTAGGGGGTCCAGACGAGAGGCTGCTGCAGGGTACAGGTGACGGATGGCGGCCTGGCCCGGGTGTGGTGGGGATGGAGAGGAGGGAAAGGGGTACAAGAGCAGGCAGGACTCGCGGACGGACGGCCTGAAGGTGGGCCCAGGGAAACACCCAGCAGACTGCCACAGAGTCTTCCTGGAACCACTCACTGGAAGAGAACCGATTGGTGGGAGGAAAGGCACCGTGTTCTGTGCGGCCCTGCTGAGCTCGAGGTGCCTGCGAGTGAACGCCGGGCAGCCGTGTCGGAAGCCTGGTGCCCAGGAAGCTCCCCACGGGGAGAGGCAGCGGAGCCTAAAGGCCAGCCCAGTGGGCAGCTGTGGGCAGAGCTCGAGGCGGCCCCTGGGGTCCCCCGCACGGGCTGTATGTCACATAAAGAGCTGCAGCGCTAAACAATCACAGAGCCTGGTTAACGCCTGCTTCTTCGGGAAAGAATGAGTCAGGCCGGGGCAAGGGCATTTTGACTTTACTGAGATCCTGTCCCTGTGCCCCAGCCCCTAGGGTGACACGGCTGGTGCTTGGTAAGAAATGGAGGGTTCAACAACATACCCGGGGCTCCTTTCCTTGTGGGGTCACAACCCCAGAAACAACAGAGGCCTGCATGGTTTAACCTTCAGATTTCAGGTCCTCCCGCCCATCCAGCCAGGAACGGCCCGATCTGCCCCTGCGAAATGTCCTGATGCCCACTCTGAAGGCAGGAAACTGAGGCTCAGAGAGGCTGAGTCCCACTCCCAACGTTACACAGCAGGAGATGGCTAAGCCGCCATTCCAGCCCAGGGCTGCCTCCCTCCTTCTTGTCCTCAGCATCCAGGGTCAAGGCAGAACACGAGGGGGCCCCGGCCCTCTGAGGCCCCAGCATGTGGGGAGGGGAGAGAAGGGCCTGGGCTTGGCAGGCTGCTGCCGTTGGCCCTCATCAAAAAACAGGAAGAACTCAGGAGCCCATGGGAGAGGACTGAGCAGGACCAGGGGCAGGTGCACTGGAGGAGGACAGACTGCACCACAGCCAAAGCTCCTCCTTAGTCTTTAGTGCCCAATGTCTACCCCGGCCTCAGATGGCAACTCAGGAGGGGTGTTGAGTAACAAGACTGCTCGGTGATTAACACGATGGTCACCAAGGGAGAGCCCGCGGCTTCCCTTCCCTGCCCAGTGAAACTCTTCCTTGAAGCTCCTCACCTCTCCCACCTGAAAGGCGGGGCCTGGAGCATCACTGAGGGATTGTGGGATGATGTCATCCCCTGGCAATCTGCTACAGGTGACCTCAGCTTGCAGAGCACAGTGAGTCCCAGGTGTGGCGCGCGGAGGTGAGCTCACTCTTGAGGCCCCAGGGGCCCTCGCCCAGGCCAGGGGCCCAGGCTCCCCAGCGCAGCCAGACAAAGGGGCTGAGGTACAGGGGAGGGTGGCGAAGGCCACTCACCTGCAGAGCTCGGTGACAGTCCTGTCCTGTAAGCCTAGACCTGGCCGCTCCCAGGCGCCTTCCTGAAAGCCCCAGGCTGTGTGGGGTAAACCACACGGTCACCTGGGCCGCCTGCCTGGGAGGTCAATACGGCCGCCTTCCGAGTACAAGGCCAATGTTCCAGGGCTGTTGGCTTCCTGCCACCCCCGGCCGGCTCCGAGAGCCCACTCACAGCCTTGCGTCACTCCGAAGGTTAGCGCCAGCTAACCGTCCTGCCTGGGGCCGAACCGATTTTAAATCATGATTTTAAGCGCCCCTTTGGAACTGAAATAAACACTTTTTTTGGACTCACTGTTGTTTGGAGACCCCCGTGGGCCTGGTCCCGTCACCAGCAAGGGTGATGATAAGACGCGTGCGACAGTGACAGGCAGTGACAGACAGGGCTCACCGCCTGGCCTTGCCACTGAGAGGCTGGGGGGCCTGGGCCCAGTGGCTTCATCTGCCTGAGGCTTGGTTCCTCCAACTTAAAACTGGGAAAGCTTTCAATGAAGTTTAAAGTTCCAATAGGCAAAACTAACCTATGCTAACAGAAGTCAGAATGTGGCGGGGTGGGGGTAGGGTGTTACTGACAGGGAGGGGCAGAGAGAACCTTCCTCCTGGAGGAGATGTGCTGTCTTGGGGTGGCGATGCGGGTGTGACGTCCACACAGGTGAACACCTGTCAAGTCTCGTCTTTAAGATGTGGGCACCTCGCCATCTGTTACGTACACCTCACTGGAAAGGGTGGGGGGAGGAATAAGAAGGATGGGAGGGAGAAGAGGGAGAAAGAAAATAAGGGGCTAAGGATCCGGCTGCCTCCCAGGGCTGTGTGAGGACCAGACCAGCGATGGAGCCATGGGCTGCCGGGCAGGGGCGTATGTCCCCCACGTGACCCTCAGGGTCACAGCAGGGGGAAGCCCAGGCTCTGCGCTAGACTCTGCCACCTCCTGGCCAACTGACCTCGTCCAAGGGGCTTTGCCCCCCTCAGCCTCAGTTTCCCCAGATCTGTAAGACGGGGACAATCAAAGACGTGGCACAGTCTTGGCTAACAGTAAGCATGTCCACTGCTGTTCCTGTCATTAATGTCAGCGTTTACCGAGAGTCCAGCGCACAGCATCACGGGGAGGACTGAATGTGCTCCCGAGGGTAAGGCGCCGAGCACAGCCCTGGTCAAGTCTAAGGCCATCATAAAAGCTGGCCCTGCTGATAACTCATCAAAGGACACGGCCCCATTCTGGGCGCCCAGGTGGTACTTAGATGCCATGCTGGGGCTTCCACATGTATCTCATTTAACACGCAGAACAAGCCAGTGTTGAATGGGGTTCCTTTCCTCTTTCCACAAGGACGAAGCCAGGCTCAGAGGAAGACAGGTAACGACTGGCCAAGAGGCAGGAAGAGGCAGGAAGAGGCAGAGGCAGGACCTGACCCTGAGACCCAGAGCCCCTGGAGCCCAGGGTGGCATTCCTTCCATTGAGAGACACTGGACAGGACGGGAAGTATTGAAGAACCAAAGGGCATGGCCTCCAAGTCCATCTGCAGGCCAGGTATCACTGTCTTTCTGATAATCTTCCGGTGCTCTTCAGATGCCCCACCCCCACGGCCTAAACATCCATAGGCTGTGGAGGTGCTCGGGGGGCCACACCCTGTGAGCCCCATAAGCCTCCCTCTGTCACCGCCTGCCACACCCCGTGGACATCTGACCCCCCATCCCCAGCAGAAGAGGGCTCGGCGCTGCCAGCCAGGAGCCGGGGCTCACGATCTCTGCTGACGGAACAGACGGGGGAGGCAGTCAACGGCACTGGCGGAGGAGCTGGGGGTGCATTCCGGGTGGGCGACGCCAGACAGCGTCGGGGAGTCTGGCGGATGGCGTAGGGGTGGGGGGGTGAGCCGAGACCATGTAGGGAGCAGGAGAGATGCCTGGGGAGGTATCGGTGAGGGGAGTGTAGGTGGAATGTAACGGAGGGCCTTGAAATTGTCAGCTGGGGCGTGAGTCTGATGACATCCATGGAAAACAATTTTTTATTTGCTTTTAGAAGAGCACTTGAATAGTTCGGATTCCTGCCCAAAGGCGCTGGCCTCCATGCTTAATAACTGGACTTAATGGAAACTTACACACATCAGTGAGGCCCGAGGCAAGGGCCTCGGTGGGAGGGGCGGGGAGGGACGCAGGTTATGCAATTACTCCCTGGTAGGTAATAATGCCCCCCAGATCAGCCCTCTGCAGACACCCCATCCTGCACCGACCCCGGCTCCATGGCTGTCACCCTCTGCCTGGGTCATCACCCAGCCTCCCCACCTGGGCCTTGGCCTCCAAGGTCACCTCCTCACAAGAAGTGAGCTTTCCCCCTGGCTGGTGTGGCTCAGTGGAGTGAGCCGGCCCGTGAAGCAAAGGGTTGCCGGTTTGATTCCCAGTCAGGGCACATGCCTGGGTTGCAGGCCAGGTCCCCAGGGTGGGGGGGCGGGTGTGAGAGGCAACCGCACATTGATGTTTCTCTCCCTCTCCTTTTCTTTCCCTTCCCCTCTGTAAAAATGAATAAATCTTAAAAAGAAAAGAAAAGATGGAGAGAGAGAGAGGTGAGCTTTCTGAGGCACAAGCCTGATCCTGTCACTCAGCTCAGAAGCCTTCAGCAGTCTTGCTGTTCCTTTCCCAAGAGCACAGTGACAACTGTGGCTGCCACCCAGCCCTGGCTCACAATCCGGGTCACCTCCTCATCCTGGTGAAGCCCCTGGCCTCCTTACCCTGGACCTGCTGGAGGAGCGTGTGAGGACACCGGTCAAGGTCACCTCCAAGTTCCCACAGTAGGCACTGCCCCCCTGGAGTCCCAACTGCCTGCTCAGCCACCTCACCTGGGGAGGGGGCACCCAAGTCCTCCAGTCAACTATTCGGACCAGGAAGCAGCGGCTCCCAGGGGCCCGGGGCAGTGGAAGTGCTTTGGGTAGAAAAGAGCTGGATGACAGGCTGGAGTGATGCGTGGGCATCAGACAGACTTGGGTTTGACTCTGGATCCACAACTCTCTAACCGAATTGTGGTTTTAGCCTCCTGCTGCCTCCGTTTCCCCAGCTGTAAAGCGGGGTGGACACTCATAGCAGTATCCATTTCAAGGGCCTTTGCGAAGATCGAATGAGCTGAGCAGGGTAAACTGCCAGCGCGGGGGGGCCGGCACCTGGTCATCTACTATCGAATCAGAACAGGAAATTATAATGAGTTGTATCACGACACCAATTATCAATGGAGAGCCCCAATGGCTACGGTTCCTCATCGTAAATCCCCGTCACATTAATAATAAAAGCAGCCAGAACCTGGGCAGTCAAATGCTGCAATGTTCTGTGGCCACGTTCTCCAAGGGTGGGGTGGGGCAGGGCAGGGGGGAGGTGCGGTTTGCTCCCCAGCACCTCCCAGCACCCTGTGGGGCCACTTTCCCCAGCATAATGAAAGGCCTGTCCAGGGCCCAGGTTGGAGTCCAACCACTCAGACAAACAGGCCTCTCTCCCACCCGGCCGGGTCAGAATAGCGTCTTATGTCACCGTTAACCACAGGCCCGCATTGGAGCCATGTTGGTCCAACCAGCGGTGACCTCATTTCCTTAGGTTACAATCTCATGGCGGGCGGGAGACTGACCCACTTCGGTCACACAACTGCCAGGGTGGGCCAGCCGCTCCGAGAAGGAAACGAACTGTGACCTTCCCGAACCAGCAGGGCTCCGCAGGGGGCAGACAGGCTCCTGAGACAGGAAGGACACCAAAGGCACAAGCTCCCTCCCTCTGCACCTCTCTGGTGCCCTCAGTTCTCACCCGTGCACACTCCCTCTGGGCAACATCTGTACTGTGATTCTGTGGCCACACAGACAAGGGGGCACTAGGGTCGCTGCATGCCGTAAATGGGGCCCCAACAGGTCTCTCTTCTTGTCCCCACTCCCCCTGACCTCCAGCCACACGCACTGCGAATGGAAAAGTGCGTGTTAGCCCAGGGCTGGACCCTCCGTGAATAGCCTCTTGTTTTGATTTCTTCCCTCACCCTCCTCTTTCTCCCCCTCCAGGGACCTGGTGGGAGGGGCCAGGATGCCCCCAGGGGCCAGGAAGAGGAAGTCCCAGGGAGGGGACGGGGCAGGGTAGCGGGAACGTGGTGCTGTTGGGAAAGGAGAGCCCTGTCTCGGGTACACAGAAGGACCTGTCCAGGCTTGCTAGAGTGGCCTTTCCCCTGCAGGCGAGGCCCCGCCTGCTCCAGACGCAGGCTCTGACGTCCGTCCGCACTCTCCTGCCTGGGGCCGGGGCCTCAGCACCCTACCTCACTGTGCGCTGAGCTGACAAATGAGGTTGCTCAGCCACCCTCCCGATGTCAGCAGGAGGCGAGGGAGGCCTGTGCTTAACTCAAGGGAGGGGACCAGGAAATAAGCATTCAGGGGCTCTTATCACCTGGGAGGTGCTGAGCGGCCTCCCCACCCCGTAGTGTTAGATGGGGAGTGAATACACAGTGAGTAAGTGCAAGAAGAGATACAAATCTGTTGGCATCAAACGCTACAGTAGGTTCCTCATTTACTTGCACTTCCCGGGGGGTTGCGTTTTCACAAATGGAAGTCAGGACCACCTCCACCAGCCAGAAGAAGACGCCTAGGTGGTCCGGTCCCAGACCGGCAGTATCTCGAAGTGTGCCTCCGTCTTGGGCGAGCCTCCCAGCACACCACACCCCTTCTCCTTCTGTGGCCTGCTTGGTCTCTTCATTCAGAGCCTTACCACGAGCTGCTAGGTCCCAGAGTCCCCTGCTGCCATTTTCAGCCCCTCTGAGCATGGAACCACAGGGCAGCGAACAAGGCAGGCCTGGCCCCAGCTTCTGGGGCTCAGGGCTGAGGGCGATCCCGGTTAACACGCAGCTGCGTCCAGGGCCTGGCCTGACTTAGCCCCGCCTGCTCCCTGCTCTGCCCCCTCCCCGGCTCGCGCTGCACCAGCTCTCCGGCTCGCGCTGCACCAGCTCTCCGTCTGCACTTCACAGGCACCGGGGACCCTGCCTCTGGGCCTTTGCACTTGCTGGTGCCCTTGCCTGGGACATGTAAAGCCTCCCACCGGGTGCCCAGGGCGGGGGGTGGTCAGGGCCCCCTCTCTGCTACCGTCATATGTGTACTCCTCTCATCTTGCTCAGAATAGGAGGGGCCTGCAATGTTCCTCCCAGGGAACAGGGGGCAGCCCGGAGGGGCCAGCAGGTGCCTGGCACACAGGTCCTTTGTAACGCCCCTTACTGCTCTCCCTGCTTGCACCTCCAACCCACGATGGGGTGACCCCTAGACATGAATGGTCCTAATGTGCACAGGTGGGAAGACACTTGACTCGGACAGGTCACCCCCCATTAGGGGCTGGGTGTGGAGGGGGATGCACAATCCTTTCTCTGACCTCCGCATGGTTGGGGGTGGGGGTGCAGGTCACATCTCTGGAAGCAGCTAAGCCTCCCCAGGCCTGGAAGGGAGTGTGTCTCTGATCCACCGTCCCTTGTTTCACCAGCAAGGCTGAGAGGCCCAGAGAGGTTCAGCAACTTGCCCAAGGTCACACAGGAAAGTGAGTGCAGACCTGGCCCTGGGTCTCCCAATCCTTATCCAGTGTGTTTCCCATCACTCTGTGAGGTCCCCTGGGCATGGGTACCATCGGGGTTGAACACAGGAGCAGAGGGACAGGGAAAGCCAATCCTGTCACACCTCGGAGGGCAGGAAGCTACATTCAGAAACAGGTTAAAAAGAGGCGAGACCAGTAGGCCCCAGGTGCCACCTCCTAATGGCATGGCATGGACCTCAAGCAAGTGGCCTGCCTGTCTGTGCCTCAATTTCCTCACCTGTACGGAGGAGACAACTGGCCCTGGGGCTGTGGGAGGGTCAAAGGCAGTGACACTCTTACAGCGACCAGGCCCATCGGGGACTGAGCAAGCTGTGTTTTCAATTTCCTGGTGCCTCGTGGCTGAGGAGGAGGCCAAGAAAACCAAGGAATTCCGTGAGTAAAAGAGAAAATTCCAGTGTTGAGCAGGAGCGCGAGTGGCCAGGGCTCAACCCCTTGACGACCTTCTCCGCTGCAAACACAGAAACAAAGAGACCCGGAAGCCTCCAGCCTCGGCCAAGGCAACAAGCTCCAGGCCCCGACTCCATCTCAGAGGGGCGTCCGAGGAGGCCATGGCTAAATCATCCCACTGGCATCTGGGTTCCACGCGGCCCAGAGGATGTGCTAGGAATTGGGGACGGACTCACAATGCGTCAGTCTCGGCCAGGAAGCCCACACTGATTCCTCACGGAGCGTGGGCCTGAGAACAGGGCAGGGGGCTTAGCCCAGGGGGCGTGGCCCCTCGGCTAGGAAGTCGCGCTGATTCTCTGAACTCTTCCAGCTTTGACTTGGAATGACCCCGGGATGAGTCAGAGGGGCAAAAACAGCAAATGTGCTCTGTGTATTTGGGGACCGTTCTGTGCACACGAGGACAGAGGCGGCCTCCCACAGCGTGGAACCCGAGCTTCCTCCTCAGCTGTAATGAAGCAGCATTCGCTTCTGCTCTGACTTTAAAACCCTTTTAAGAAGCAGAAGGGCGGCAATGCCACGGGCTCGGAAAGGGAGTTGAGAGGCTCTGAGGTTCCCCTCTGTTTTAAAGCCACTCCCCCTTCCCTTCCGGGAAAGCTCTGGAATGCACTGGGGGAGGTGGGGGGTAACTTACACTTCTGTGGTGATGAATCCGGTGAGCTCTGAGAGGAAGAGGAAGAGGATGAAGAGGCAGCAGCAGATAGAGACTGCAAGAAACAGAGAGATGCACAGTAAGGGCAGAGGGCACTGACCGGGGCAGCTGGGCTCTCCCCGGGCCTCCCCGCCTTCTGCCCTCAGGGGAAAGCTGCTTAGAGAGAGGGGGAGAGGCTCCCCTTACACAGCCCCCAAACCCCCTTCCTACTGTTGGTCTCAGTGAGAAGCAGCCCTGCTTCCAGAAAGGGAGCCCGACCCTCCAGGGTGCGCCCAGCCCCCTAACAGGCAGAGAGTCCCAGGCCAGCCCAGCCCTCTTCCAAAAGAGCAGGTTCACACAGAGTCAAATACAGAGCCCTCCTGCCTCCCTGCTTCCTGGGCTGCGCCTGCTCTATGTATCACCACCCCCCACGGTGCCACCCACAGTGCGCCCGTGTCCCTATCAAATGTAGGAAATTGAGGACTGCGAGCTCTGTGCTTCAAGGGGAGGGACCGTTCTCTGTGGACCTGAGGAATGGCCCCAGTTGGAGACGCAGAGAGGGGGACCAGGCTCCGGGGCTGGCCCCTGCGTGTGTTGGGAGCTTGGCTGCCTGGCTGTTGCCAATGCTGGGGCGTGTGGCCCTGTAGTGGCGCAGGACACAGCCAGCGTCCCGGAGTCCGGGCCTCCGCTCACCTCCAGGCCTGTCTCCTAACACGCCCCCAACGTCCCACCACCCAGCCACGCTGAGCCACATGCTGGTCCCAAACCGTGCGTCCCATTTCGGTCCCTCTGCCCAGACTGGCTTTCCCATTGTCCCTCCTCCTCTGCCGTCACCCTCTGTGTGGCAAACTCCTCCTCACACTTCCAGGAGAGGCCCTGCTCCAATGTCCCTTCGGCGGGGAAGCTCACCCCGTCCCCAGAAGAGGAGCTGGCTCCCGCTTCCTCCGTGCTCCCAGCCTCTGCTGGAACACCTGCCACATCCAATGGCTGCCTGTGGCTGTGTCTCTTAGTGGACTGATGTCCCGGGAGGCGAACACTCCAGCCTGCACAACGGGCCCCTAAGTTCTCCCTCTGTCCAGATCGGAGGTGGACAGAGGGCCAGCAAGGCCTCTCTCTGAAACCTGTGTGCTTCATTCAAGGCTCTGAGGGAGCCTGGCCAACCCGCCCAGTGGACACCATGAGCCCCAGGCCTGCGTGGCTGGAACCCACGTGTCCAACAGCCCTGACCACTCCAGCTCCATGTCTGCCCCCCTCACCCTGTCCCCAGACTGGGAGGACACAGACTGTCCCAGCATCGCCGTGGCCTCAGGGTCCGGCACGGTATCCCGCTCAGAGGAGATGTAAAATAAATCTTCGCTGAATAAGTGACTGAAAAACTCGAAGGCCAGGTTGGAGGTATTTCGGCCAGAAAGGCCGTCGGATAACTGAAGATGGACGAGGGTTTTTCAATCCACATTCGGGTAAGAGGCTGAGGCTCTCTGACTCCAGACTTCCTCCGAGACTGACTCAGGGCCCCGGGACGATGCAGACGAGTGGGCAACCCGGTGCAGCCAGCAAAGGGGCGAGGGGTCTAAGACCCACGGCTCCGTGGAGTCAGTGAACTCGTCCAAGGCCACGGGGCCGTTTCAGGGGAGGAGGCCAAATCCAAACCCAACCTGGGTCTCCAGGGCCCTCGCTGGCTTCTTCAGTTGTTAACAGTGCTTATCACAGGGCAGGGAGATGCTTCTGTGTCCGCCGTGGCGCGCGCTCCTCTGGAACAAAGATTGAAGCCCATTCATCACCGTGGCCCCAGTTTTGCCACGGGGCCTTGCCTGGTTAATAAATACTTGCTCACTAAATGGCAGCACAGGGCTCGCTTCCCAGGCCTCACGCCTTCCCTCCTGTGTAAGGGAGTTGGCTGCCAGGCACGCTGTGACCGGGACCGCAGAACACGCAGTGTCTGGGAGGGCCATGCAGGGCACCTGCTAACGTACAGCACACGGGCCCTGTGACCCAGTGACCCCTCGTCCAGGAGAGGTACCTTACAGAAATAACCCTACAAGGACACAAAGAGATACGGACAAGGATGTGTGTGATAAGAATAAAATGAATTCAGCCCTAGCTGGTGTGGCTCAGTGGACTGAGTGTCAGCCTGAGAATCACGGAGTGGCCGGTCTGATTCCCAGTCAGGGCACATGCCTGGGTTGTGGGCCAGGTCCCCGGTGCGGGGCACACAAGAGGCAACAATGCATTGATGTTTCTCTCCCTTTCTCCCTCTTCTCCGCTCTCTAAAATAAATAAACAAAATCTTTAAAAAAAAAACACTTAAAAAATGGAATCAGCAATGTCCACCCTCTGCGGGCTGCTTACATCAACAGCGGGTCACCCAGATAACGTGACAGGACACAGCTGGAAGGAGTGTCGCGGCCAGTTGTGTGCTGGTGTGAGGTGTCCCGGACCAACCCGCTGAAAGAAGGGCTGGGAAGACAGTGAACACAGCCTGCGTGCGTCTGTGCTGGGAACAGCAATACACGCGTATCCAAGCCTGACGATATGTTTAAAAAATTCTAGAAGGATGCACACCTGCGAGCTAAACACGCCCACTCGGGTGAGACTGCAGACAGAGAAGTGGTCGGAGCTGTCGGCTGGAGTAGGAAGGGGACAGGCCCGGGGTGAAGTTTTGGGTGCGGGTTCACAAAACAGCTGAACAGGTAGACAAACGAGCCCCTTTCCTCCCACGTCCCCCGAATAGCCTTTCTGTGGGGACCAAGGCGCCAAGCGTCACATCTCCTGCGGTCACAGACCTCCATGGGCTACGGGCTCCAGGAGAACGGTGCTAAGCAGAGGAGTGTCAACCAGGCACGTGCCCCGCACTTGACAGGCGTGATGTCCTTTAATGCCCAGATCAGGAAACTGAGACTCAGAGAGGGCAAGCAACCAGCCCAAGGTCGCCCAGCTGCTAAGTGGGAGCAGGGACCCAGTCCTGCCGGACTCCAGAGCCTGCCCTGGTCCAGAAGGTAGACACAGCTTCAGTGAGCTGAGCTGGAGATGGGGAGAGCTGGGCAGGGCCAGCCAGGGTGCGGGGCCTCTGAGACCATCGCTACCCCTGGTGACAGCCTGCCCTGGGAGGCCACAGCGGACTCCAACCCAAGTGCCTGACCCCAGGGGAGGTCCCCCTCCACACCACACACTGGAGAGGCCCACTGAGTCCCAGTCTGACTCTATCTTTTGCAAACTGTGACACACGAGGCTAAGCCCATCTCTCCTCTGGAAAACGAGGGCCAATCACTCCCGCTTGCACAGTACTTTTGTTTATTTTGATTTCCCCAAATTAACTTTTTAATGTGGAGTAATACTGGATACAAAGATGGTACAGAAAGTTCCCACACACCCGGCTCCCAGCTTCCCCTTCTGTTAACATCTGGCAGGTTTGTCACAGGGAAACAATGACATGGTCCAGTACTATTACTACACAAGTGACAGGCTTAGGTCACCAGTTTCCCCACCGGTGACCTCTGCTTGTGCTGGGAACCGGTCCAGGGCCTCACACAGCACACTCAGCCTCCGCGTGTCCTCGGTTTCGAATCCGTGCCAGCTCCCCGGCCTCCCCCTGGTCCTCATGAGGGTCCTGTAGGAAGTCCCCCTCTCTGGAGCTATCTGACGTGTCCTCGTGATGAGACCAACTGGCTGCTGGTTCTGGGGGAAGGTCGCGTACCAGCAGGAGGCTGTGACATCATCCTATGGCAACTCACTGGCTGGTGCTCACCTTCACCCCTCAGTGAAGGTGCTGTTCCAGGCGTGTCCGCAGTCACGGGACTGTGTTCCTTTCCCATCGCATCTCTTAAAAATCGAGTCACGGAGGCCAGCCCACACTTCAAAAGAAGAGAACTAGGCGCTCACTCCTGGGCAGGGACGCATTCTTCTGCATTGTCTGGAATTCTTCCATGAGGCAGATTCCGCCCTTCTTCCCCGTTTACTTAGATCAGTGTGGACTCACGGGCCTTTCCCTCATTCTCTGGGCGGCGAGCGGATGCTGCCGACATCTATTCTGACGCTCAAACTGCCCAGCCTTGGCCTCTGGGCGCTGCTGCCCAGGCAGGTTCCCGCGTCCCCCTGACACACCCCATCTTTTTTCTTCCCTCCGGGCTCTTCCGGGCTCTTCCGGGCTCTTCCGTGCCCTCTGGCACACAAGGAGCCGCAGGCGTGTTTTGTCTCCTTCCTGCCCAGCCCCCGGAAACCAGCCATTTCTCCAAGGAGCCCTGTCCTTTCATTGAAGAGTATTTCAAACCCCAAATCGGAGTGAGGTTTTTAGTTTTTTGAATGGTGAGAAACATGCTTATGTCCAAAGTGCAAACAATTTAAAAGGTCAGGCTCTTCCTGACCCCCCGCATCAGGCCCCTGACCCCCCGCGTCACCCCCCAGGGCGGCCACTCTGCGTGAGGTCTGGTTCTCCCTCCAGAACCAGGCGCTGCCTGATGCCTTGGACCAGGGGCCTGGCGAGACGCCCGTCATCTCTCCCCACTTCCTGTCTCTCCGTTCAGCCCCGGCCCAGCAGTTCTGCAGGGGGAGGGGGCCCGGGGCTGGGGGTGGGGAGGGGCGGGGGCAAGACGGGGCTACTCACTAATGGCCCCGGTGTACGTCGGCTGCGTGAGGTCCTTGGGCACCTTCCTGTAGATGTCAAACCTGCAGAGAGCAAAGGGGGCAGGGGTGAGGTGGCCACGAAGGGCTGGCCTTGGGCAGCAGGGGACACGGGGCGGCCGGTGAGCCATGTGGCTCAGCACGTCACGCCTCTTCCCAGAACCAGCTCCTCCAAGAGGCCTGTGGGACACCCCCTCTGATGGGTCCCCCACACCCACACTGCCCTTACCCTTGTCGAGCTGGCTCATGACTCTTATCAGCACCTGAGAGGCCCTGGACCCCCATCTGGTCTGGTTTCTTGGCTGGTTTTTCCCCATCAGAAGGTCGCCCCCCTGAGGGCAGGGACCTGGTGAGGTTCTGTCCCCCCTGCCACACCCCCGGACCCCAGCACAGGCCTGGCGCACAGTGGGCCCTCAACAGGTGTTTGTGGAACACACTGAGCCCCCTGAGGGAGCGTGGGGCTTCTCCGACAGTGAAGAGAGCGGGGGAAATCAGACTTTCCTGAGTGCCAGGGTGTCACCTCTCCGCCTCACCGTCCGGTCCCTGCAGCCTGCCTCTTACAGACTCTTCTCGACTCCAAGGCACGAGGCTGACCCAAAACACTGCCAGGGCCACCCTCTCAGTATCAGGTTGTGATGGCTATGGCTCTGTGTGACGTGGGCTCCGCTCCCGGCACCGAACGGATGCCTCTCTTTCACAGGGGTCCCAACAGAGCAGGCATGGGTCATGGGGTGTGGCGGAAGGACTTGGGGTTGGGGACTCAGAGAGACTCCATGGGTCCAAATCTTGGCCAGTTTTCTTCCTCACCGTGTGACTTTAGGCAAATAATGCCACCTCTCTGTGCCTCAGTTTCCCTGTCTATAAACAAACAGGGCTACTCCTCCCAGACCTGCCAGGCTACTGAGAGGAGGAAGGGACAAGCGTCTGGCAGACCTGCCGTGGAGTGTTCGCAGGGAAAGCTCCTCGTGCACTTGGCTCCCACCGCTGCCCTTGGCCCCGAGCAGCCAGCTCTCCCATGCAGAGTTCCACCAATGGGGCCCTAAGTCCATACACAAGGTTCCCAGGCTCTCTGGCTAGAGCCTGGCTTGGTAAAGAGCCACTGCCCTGGGCCTGCTGGGTAACGGGCTAGCGGCCCACTAACCCACTGCAGTGATCTGGACGTCTTGCGTAGGCTCGGATACTTGACTCTCGTGTGCTCACTTTAATCGCAACTGTGCTAGCTTCCTGAGACCTCAGGGGCCAGGCAGTTCCCACAGGCTGCCCAGTAAAAAGGTACTACCTTCTCTCCTACATGCTCAGCCAGGTACTTGGGCCCCGGAGGGCACCAGAAACTGGGGCTGGGAGCGCAATGGCGGGGAGGCGGGAGGGGTATAACCATGTGACTCAGCCACCCATATCTAGTCACCTCCCTTATCCTGAAAATGCCGACCCCTTTCATGCAATAGGCGTAGGAGAGATAAGAGCAGGTACTGCAGGGTCAGCCTGCCTGGGCTCAAAGGTGACTCGGTCACTGTGTGACCTGGCGCACGTCGCTTACTCAACCCCCTTGGGCCTCAGTCCCACCGTCTGTAAAACGGGGCGACAGTTGTACGCATCTCGAAGATGGGGGTGAGTGCCCGGAGAACTGGAGCACGTGAGGCACTTTGAACAAGCCTGGCGCCCAGGTACTGCCTGAGTACCGCTGCTACTCTTATGGATGCTAGTTTGAGTAACATTTACCAGCACCGACTACCTGCTGGGCGCTCTTTTAGGCACTAGGACATGGAGATAAAATCAGCCCTGTGTGCCTGTGGGTTAGCAGCAGAGACAAAGAAAATGGAAAGAAAAGAAAAGGTGAGGTTGGGGTGGGAGTGGTGGGGAGTAGGTTCCCCCACGGGGTCAGCTGGAGGCACCTGGGGAAATCCGGGAAGCTTCTTGTAAGAGGTGGCGTCTGAGCAGAGCAGGAGGATAGGAGGAAGGTGGGTGCAGGCAAAGAGCAGCCCAGACAATAAGAATAGCAAAAGCAGGAACGAGAGAAGGGCGGATCCGGTGTGATGGAGGCTTTGCTCCCTTGCACGTGGTACCAGGCTGGGAATGGAGGGAGCTGTCCCTGGGAGCCGGGGAGGGGCCCACGAGCCACTTCCTGGTCCAGTTAATACCAGTCACCATCCTGGGCCCACAGACCAAAACTGGGCCTCGCAGTTGAAACAGTACAGGGACCATCATTTCAACAGTGGAAGTTTTAGGGGAGGTCAAAGGCTGCCCAGGGTGACAAGGCGGGGGTGGCCAGGAGGACAGCATCAGAACCAGGTAAGGGTGAGGAGGGAGGAGGAGTTACATACAGGGGTGGGGGGGCAGATTAAGTAAGTGAATACAGTGAGGGTGATGAGAGCCAGGTACCTCACTGTTGGGGCAGGGACTGAGAGAAAAGCAGAATAAACCCTGGGGAATTAGCGTGGAGATGGAACAATCCCTGTGAATTCACGGTTTTCAACACACGAGGTACAGAAATATCCCTGTGGGTGTATACACACCACAGCACTCATACTTCCCAGCTCGCTCCACAGAGAGGGTCCGGAGTGACAGACAGATCACAGACCCATCTGGCGCTGACATCTTCGCTTCTAAATATCCTTCTTTACTCAAAGAAATCAGCATTTTGGAGAAATGGCTAATTCTAGGGCAGGCAGGGAAAATACAAGATGAACTTGGAGCATGATGATATGTCAGAAAGCAAGAAGGCGTCCAAAACAGGATGGGGACCTATCAAAAGGATGAGAAGCCACTTAGAGGGGCCCCCACGGGCCAGAGAAAGGCCAATGTGAACACCACTCAGTCATCACGGTAAGAGACCATAACCATAACCCCGCTGGCTAACACAGGGAGCCCACAATCTATACGGATAAAAAGAAATGAGTAAAATCAGGCATTTGATGAGAAACTGGGCATCTCCATTCCTTCGAAGCACCCCCCCCACCAAATCCTTGCTCACTACAAAAGGAAAAAGTGTGAGTGTACAGGGGAGAAACTCAGCAGACATCAGGGTGACCGAGTGACTGTCACTGGGAGGAGACACGTCATGTGCCTTCTGATGGGACACACTGAGGAAGGTATGCATCACTCCTGCCGAGCCGTCACTCCAAATGCACACCCTCGGGAGAATCACGGGAAAAGAGCCAGGAAATCCACACTCACGGAGGGTCGTGTTTCAAAATGCCCGGCCAGCACTCGTCCAAACGACCCAGGTCGGGAAGGCCAGCGAAGACTAAGGGACCATCCGAGATCGGAGGCGGTGGAAGAGACGCCACACCCAAGTCCCGCGGGATCTCCCGAATCACAAAGCGGACAGCAGTGGGACAACTGATGGGATCTGCGTTAGATCTGAGGATTAGTTTGTACAGAGTGCCGTTTCCTTGGCTTTGAGCGTGGTATCTGGTTATATCAGATGCTAACATTTCAGGAAACTGGGCAAAGGGCACAGGGGAGGTTTCGGTAATATGTCTGCCAATGTTTTGGAAAGTCTAACCATTATATCAAAATGAAAAGTTAAACGTGTTTTAATTTAATGGAAGTTTTCAAGAATATTTTCAGAGTGAGATACCATGTAAAGAATCCCATCCGGCCTCCTCTTTTCGATACTGCCCGTCCCTATAGGCCTCTGAATTTGAAGGGCTGGCTTAACTAACGTTTGTCGAGTCTCCTTGGTGTTCAGGAGAGTGAGTCTTGGCTGGGGGTAGGAAGGGGCGGGAGCCTGGTGAACACGGGTCTAAGAGAGGAGGTTAGACTTAGACCAGACTACAGGAGGCAACGGCAAGCCAAGGAGGCAGATGCTGCAGAACGGCACAAAACCAAGGTCACTGCCAGCCCTTGCTAGGCTGCTTCCCACACGTCCTTGAATTTAATGGTCACAATAATCCTGGGAGACGCCGATAACCCATTTGCTCAGAGAGAAGACAAAGTTTAGCGTAAGCAGCTTGCTCCAAGGCGTCAAGTCTGTGATTAGCAAAGCTGGGATTCAATCCCAAGTCCAAGTGTGTAGGCTGTGGTCCTTCCACCACCTGTATTCGTAGAAATCAGTTTAAAGCTGTTATTGGTCAATTGAAGTCTCAAGGTTTTATCTCTTTTTCTGAAGATGCTGCCCCATAGCACGTGGAATCTCCTGGAAGACAGGGACCAGTTCAAAACACGTTCACCCCTCCAACAGATTTCCACTAAGCACCTATTGGCAGTGCCCTTGATGTTGGGAAAACGAAAGCGGTCAAGGCAGACACAGCCCCTGCCCTCATGCCTTTGGGTCCCTGTTCAGAACATTCTCTAACCATAATCCCATTCCCACGCCACAAAATCCAAGCTGGGGAGCGGTCGCAGGGTAAATGGAGAGCTGAAACGGACCCGGGGTTCAGAGCTGACCACAAGCCGGTGAGTCAGCAGTGAACGTCACTGAGAAAATGGGCCACAGGGAAGACGGTGAGAACCCAGGCATGTGACAGACCAGGAAGTGAGCCGTCCTCCTGGGCTCCCATCAGCCAGCCCCTCGCTGCGGGGATGCGGTATGGAGATGAGCTGTGACCACTCACTGTCACATGAATGTGGGAGAAAGGACAAGCAGAACGGGGAGGGGGGAGGGATGCTTACTAAGTGAGCACCTAGCCTATGCCAGGCCCACGCTAGGCCCCAACCAGCACGTGCTCGTCCCGTTTTCGCGGCCAACCCACGAGGCAGGGATTGTGAACCCATTTTGGACAGAAGGCTCAGAGAGCCAGGTGATTCAGCTAAGCTCGAGCACCTACCAAGGGCAGCTGCAAGGATGGGAATCCAGCCCTAACTTGCGTTCTTGCTGCTGTCCCCAACAATGCGGGGACAAACCAGGGCCACTTGGGTGGAAAATACTTCTTGGGAAGAAAGGTTTAAAGACCTGGAATGGCTTGGGCCTCAAACAGAGAAAGCTAAACGATGGACTTTTGATGGCTGTCAAATAATAAACGCCCGTCCTTGGACCTCCCACCGGACCCCGAGTTTTTCAAGGGCAGGACCTGGTCTCTCTGCTACCTGGCCCTGCCCACTCC